CTACTTTTTCACAGACTTCAAAGTGGCTGATAATACTGAAGCCAGAGGGTTTGGGAATTTTTTTAGGAATATTTCAGAAGAACCTTCTTGCAGCTCAGAGCTCTTCCAGGGTTCCAGCTCTCCCTGAGATCAGAAATAAGGCCACAACTACACAAAAGCACAGCTAGTAACCTTTAGCTGCTATTGGGAGCTACAGAAATAGCCTATGGGTGTAAGGAAGAGTTTGTTCAGCATTTCACCCTTTTAAACCTTTTTATAGGAGAAGAGCCAGATGCCGCTTCCATATTCAACACTCAACCTCCCCAAAGTGATCATATGGTTCTTGTCCTCAAGTGAACAGTGTGTTTTTACTTCCATAACCCTGCTTGGCAGGCTACCACATGCATTTTTTATTTTCTGCATGACAAAGTGTTTTTCAGTTCAAACTTCTTTCATTCTTTCTTTTCTCCTTGCTTTCTTTCTCTCTTATTCTCTTTATATTTATCTTTTTCTATCTTTCTTTCTTTCTCTCTTTCTCTTTCTTTCTTCTTTCTTTTCTTTCTCTTTCTTTCTTTCTTTCTTTCTTTCTTTCTTTCTTTCTTTCTTTCTTTCTCTTTCTTTCTTTTTCTTTCTTTCTGTCTCTTTCCCTTATATTTATATATTCCCTTATATCTAACTCACCTTTGTGAGGTTGAAGGTAGTAACCAGGGCTCAGGTGATCTTTTCTCTTAATGACTGAAGAGTTTTAAACTCTAAAGGGTGCCTTGATTAGTTGGTAGCTCTTTTTCAAAGCAGACTAAATTTGAATTTCTATTGAGACGATGCAGTAAGTAATCTTCCTTCCTGACCAGGGAGGCAAAGCACCCAAGCAGGGAGCCGTCTGTCAGTGATTCCATGTTGGGAATTGTGGTTTCTGTGACTATAACCTGGCTGGTCTGGGCAGAGGTGGCTTGGCTTGGCAGGGTCCCATCTGGCCAGGGCAGCAGGGATGGCCCCGACTTCAAGGAGGGCTTCATCTGCCAGGCAGAGAGAGCCGGGGCTGGTGTCGGCACCTTGCCCAGGGGCTGTGTGGCCCTGAGCACACCTGCGCTCACCTTCCTCTCCTCATGGCCATGAGCATGAAGCCCCACACCTGAACACCCGCCTGCTGGCCAGACTCGCTCCCTGCTGGAGAGCAGCTGCCAGTGCCCCCTACACACGTGCCAAGGAAAGAGGAAGGGGCTGCTCGATGTTTGGTTGGATGGGGCAAGATATTTGCTGATCTTTTTCCCATATAGGATTTTTCTTTACACACCAGAAGCAAATGCTTTTTTTCTCAGGGTCCTTTAAATTTATTTGTTTTTAATTAAAGCTCATAGCTACGGTTGGAAGCAGACATAGGGAAATGGAATAGAGTGAACCAAGCAAAAGGAAATGGTGACTGAAGTGTCCACTCGTGTCCCCTTTAACAGAGACAATGTTAAAAATGATTCTGTTTTATTTAAAAGTTTGAATAATCATTAGAAGAGTGCCCAGAGTCTGAGGCTGAAGTCCTCACCCAGAGAGTGCGGTAAAAACCCAGCCAGAGATGCTCCTCTCACCTGCTCTAATATGCTCTTTCATCCTCTCCCAAATGCAATTCAGGAGAGAAGTGCATCAAGATAGCTCTCCTCTTCCCTCTCTCCCTTGCTCTTTGACCCTAAAACTCCAGTGGTGAAGATATTTGCTTACTCAGAAGCAGAGGAAAGAGGATTCACCCCTATCTTTCAAAAGGAAGAATTTATCTGCCTGCCTCCATTTGCCAGTGCTACTTGGGAATCAGTATAAGTCCCCTCCCCTCTATATGTCTAAAATGCCCAAATCAGGTTGCTTTCATAAATCCTACATTCATTTTTTAAGTCACCGATCAAATTAATTAAATTAAGCCCTGTTCATGAACACTTTTAGATCATCTGGAAACAGAGGTTTCAGGGAATAAATAAATAAATCCATGTTAAAAGCAAACAAACAAACAAGAAGTGCAATTCCAGACTCTCCCTCACTTTCCGAAAAGCCTGGGTTTCTTACTGTGCCATCTCCTTCTGCTGGCCAGCTCCCCAGGACCCCAGAAGCAGCACTGACTCTGCCAGCCCCAGGTTATCCCAGGAACCCAGGGAATAACACAACATTGTTGAGGCCTCTGGATAAGTTTCACTCTTCCTAGGAGTTGGAAAGGTGTGCTGGACATTCACCATCCATTTCCTATTTTACTAGAAATAGGGTGAGATTCATTCCATCAGACTTGGAGGGCTACCATATTTGGGCAACTTATTTAGGCTTCCTTTATACAAGCAGGGGAAAGAAATGGGCCCTTCTTGTGACCAGCCCTTCAAAAGACACCATCCTTCACAGAAAGGCTCATGTGGGCTGTATCGATGGTGGTACAGAAATACCCATCTCTTTCCACTGAATCAAACGGAAGCCTGTGAGTAACTTTTCCAAATGCAGACACCACCTTTTGAGATGCTTTACACTTCAGAAAAATTAGATGAATGCTATTTTCAGAGACAGTGCATTTTATGACCCGGTTGCCTGGGTGGGTGTCTACATGCCTTAAATAGTTCTGTGGTCTCTGCAACAGTGTCTGGACGCAGAGACCCTTTCCCCAATAGCAACTGAAGCACAGCAGTGGTTCCCTGTTCCCAGAGATGTTGTAAAAGGACTTACTGATGTCAAAATACTCTTTAATGAGGTTGAGAACCATCTCCACCACTCTGCAGCTCTGTGAGGCTACAGCATTGCACAACGGACATACTACTTTCTTTTTTATTTTCTTTTAATTAATGCAAAAAGAAGAGAAAGAGAGAGACAGAGAGAGGGAACAAGGTGAGGCTCAGACATCCTGTGTGCTTCCCAGAGGAGAAAGCAGTCCTTGACCCTCTGCCAGACCAGCAACACAGAACAAGCTGATGCTCCAGAAAGGCTGGAATTGAGGTTTTTGACCTTGACCAATGCATGTGAAACAACAAACCCAGTAAAAAACCATGAAACACCCCCCTCCTCAGACCATACAAACACAAATTTCAGTTCATTGAACCACATCATTTCAACAGCACAGAAATTCTGAGCAGCATTAATCCATGCCATGGTGGCAGCCTGGGCTCCCAATGGAGACAGCAGAGTGCTTGAGATTTCAAGTACCCAAGTCAACAGTTGGATTGGCTCAGGTTTGTACCTCAATCACTCTCAAGTGCTTGGCTGGGCTCCTGCCTGCAGGTTGCAGCACCAAGTCCTGCCGTTGCCCAAGCAGCTGAACAGGGCTCACTGGAGGCGGCTGCCAGAGGGGGCAGCCGGTCCCACTCTCCTCCTCTCCCCTTCTCTGACCCTGTCCCTCCTCCCCCTCTGTGCCTACCACTTGTGAAAGCCACTAAGCTGCTTGATTTTATGTGTCTCTTGCACAGGGCAAGTTTTAGCCAGGTCAACAAGCCCCAGAATTCCTCCCACCACTCCAAGAGCTGGTGTAACTGATGGGATAGGAGGTTGGGGAAAAGGGAGAAGGTTCTCCCTCAGCAGAGGAGCACAGTCTCAGAATGGGTGACTCAACAGTGCAATCACATCTTGTTTTAAAAGACAGCAGCAACAGCAATTTTCAAAGTAATATTTTGAAGTCTGTGCTTTTCCCTTTTTCCCTTGGCTGAGAGGTTCCCCACCACATCTGGCTTGTACCTAGAGCTGTACTGAACCCTTGAATTTTTTTCTTTCTGCAGCAGAAGAGAGAAGGGCAACCCCTGCTCTGCAGGAAACTCGTAGGCACCTTGTTCTTGGAGCACCCACCTCTCCTGGGCTCACCTGTGAGTGCACTTGGAAGACAACCCCTGAGAGAAAGTAATTCAGCCCATCAGGGGGAAGCGGTTTATTTACAATCCTAGGTATGAACCAGCATGGTGCAACAGGAAATGATGGGAGAGAATAGAACCACAGGAGCTTGCTGTGAGGCCTCAAGACCTCCAGAGAAGACCTTCTCTATCACACTCTTCACCGAAGCACAGGCCCATGACCCTTTTGCTAAGGCAGGAATCCTCCTCCCCAGAGAAAAAGAGAAAAAGCTTTGATATCCCCACACTACAGACTTTCCTTGTAAGAGGAGCGTTATGGTTATACAAAAGCATGTGTCATAGGAAGAAAGACACTGCAGAGATCTACAATGGGATACCACACTCAGATCTATCAGGCAACAAAAAACTAGAAACAACCTTTCATGGCTACTTTTCTTGTGAAATGTAGAAAAAAGACATAAAAATTATGTCACTGACTTGAGCTTGGAAAGAAGTACAAATAAAAATTACATTCTTAATCTACTTGTGATAATTCCGCTCTGTCCTGTTCAAGTGAAAATGATACAAATAATGTAATCTTGGCTAGTGTCACTTTAATCCACTGGAATTTATACTATACCTTCTTTTTTTCCAAATAACAGTTTATTGAAATTTGTTCAGACAAGACTGTCCTCCAGCACTGGTCTTGTATTTTGGTTTTGTCTTTTGTTTAAACTCCATGTAGTTGGTAATATGCAGATATTTACAAACACATACAGAGAGAAGTACTGGCAGAGAGCAATCTCTTTATGAAGCTGAGATATCCTTAGACAGCTTTCACTAAAAATGTGCAGGTGCTTCTGTATGTAGAAAGGGTTTTAAAATTAAGAGATTGATATCTAGTGAACATAGTATCTTCTGCAGCAGGATTTACACTATGCCTGGTTTTGAGGATTATTTGGGAGCTAATTCCCTGTAGCAAATCTGTATCAAGCCTGGCATAATACTGAGAAGTGATCAAATAGTGAAGATTGCTTGTGAGAACTCACTTTTTTCCTTCCTTATATATTACAATCATTTTAATTTGGGGCGGACTGCCTTTTTTGGAATAAATTGACACAGCGCTGCTGCAACAAGGTAGACACAAGAACCTTTTCCTATAAAGTCTCATATCAAGATGGTATTTAGAAAAGCCTTGCAACCAGCAGAAAAGATTTTTTCTGCACGCAGCATTCATAAAGAATCACAACAGCCAAAGGCCAAATCCTGCCCCTTTCTACTTGGCTTGGTGTTTTTATCTTGTAACTTTATTTGAGAAATGGAGATATGAGAGGAAATGGAGACATGATGGGTAGACACTTTATATGATGGATTTTAAGCCTCAAACTGAAATAAAACCTTGGATCTTGTATATTTAAGTAGCAGTTGAAGGTGGTCCTTAAGCTCCTAAGCCTTTTACATGTTTTTTGACAGAGATACTAAGAATGCAATAAAAACACATTATTTTCCCCATAAACCTTACTTCAAAAAAAGGAGCAAAAAATATGCTCGTTGTTTTACTTAGCTTTTTATTCCATCATTATGGCACAAGATAGAACTTAAAGACAACATTACTGGATATGTCTTCAACTTCATTAAAATTAAGACTAATATGTTTTATAAAATTCTTTTATATGATACATTTTCCCTTATCGAGTGTTAATAAGGATTTTCTCTAGAATACTGCGGCACATTGCCACCTGCTGGTCACAAACCGTTCTGCAACTTAAAAACACCACAACGTGTATAAAACAGCAACATTAACAATGCAACATACAGGTACTGAGGAAGTATTACTGACCCAGACTTTGGCACAATATTTATAGAAACGCAGTTGTGAGCTTCTCCAAACCACATGTTCATTTCTGAAACTCTGCTTGACTCCCTTTAGTATGTCTGCCTGCATTTTTTTTCCCTTCTCTAACTCTTAATGCTGGAGCTTTGTTATTTCAAAGGAAAAGCCATATTCCTTCTCAGATGTTACACATCTGAATTTATGGGGTTTGGTTTTCTAAAATTTGGATTCCAGTTTATTGTTTTAGAACAATACATAACATCATACATTTATAAATATATATATTATATCCTGTATATATAACATTGGGTTTCCTTTAAAATGGGAGGGCAGACCTTTGCACTACATCCTTAGTTGGTTTAGGCATGATGTTGCTCTTAGCTGATTCTGTGAGTTGCTTCCTACCAGAATCTAAAGAAATACTTTTACAATCTTGTACCGAATTTTAAATTTTTTTGAAAACATATTTATAAGAAAAAAATATTCGGTATTTTCCCCTCTAAGTTCACTACTACCCTTATAAAATATATGGCTTTTCATGTTCCACTCTATTTTAGTGTTTTTCAATAGGCAGTGAAAAGAAGGACAACTTTCCCCTTTAACAGCTTTTTTTTTTTATATATATATATATATATATATATAAGCACAGAAACCAGCTTGTGCACTTTCTATAGAATTCCAATGCATACCACGGTAATGTAAGTGCAGTGATTTTAAAAAAAAGCAGTCATGATTGATTGACATCTGTATATGAAAACATAATATATGATTATCATACAATACCCATTACAGAATATACAATCATCAAAACTGCAGATATATAAATACATTTTTAGCAACATCAAAGCAACAGTTTTATCTTATACACAGCATATGCATACAGTTATTACACTAAAATTTTCATCTTGTTTTTTTTTCCAAAAGTTTGCTGAAAAACAGGAACATACTGTATTTGTAAAGTAACTGCTTGACAGTGCTGTTACAAAATTAAAGTGAACAAAGTTTTAAAAAAGTATATGCAATTCAGCTGATATAAAACAAACAAGCCCTCCCTGTTTTCCAATGTCACCACTGTTTTCCTATGAAACGGAGGCACAGGTATGAATGGCAGCTCTGCAGAGTCAGATCATACAAGGGTTTCTGGGAGAGCATCAGGGTTATCGGCTGATAAGAGCTCCCAAATTTGCCACCTCTCCCTTTGCCACTCATTCCAGTCCGCCTCTGAAACACTTTTACTGTTCTGACTGTGAGGTGCTGTGGAACAGGTGTGACCCGCTTGTGTGTGCGGGGCCGGCCGCTCCTGCCTGGAGGTGGCCTGGTCAGGGGCTCTGGCTGGTGGCCCTCCAGTTGCTCTCGGCCCTGAACCTTTTTCTGGGCGTTGAAGTCTCCACAGAGAGTGCAACGTTGAAGAAACACTTGACTGCTGTGACGAAGCAGGGCTTGGTTTTGCTGGGCCTGGGTAGGGGGGTGGTGGGCGCTCTTTTCTGTAGGACGGCTTGGCTGTGCTTTGCAAACAACCCGCGTTCGAGTCACGCTCACTGAGGTCCTCCACACTGCTTAAAGTCAAGTGCTGCTCCGACTTTGAGTGTGACAGGTCTGAACTCCTGCTGCCAACTTCAGTTTGTGCGTTACTGCACACACGGGACACCATGGGATGGAGCTGACACTCGGGAATGGCAGCTGTCGTTTGGCTCCTTCGCATGACCTGCCTGCTGCTGTCCAATTCCGAGGAGCTGCCCTGCCACCGAGGAGAATACATGGCGAGGTTCCCTTGGGAAAGAGAGCACTGTCCGGGTCGCAGCAAGGTGCTTTCATAAATGTTGCCGTAAGAACCTGGGGGACAGAGTCAGAAAGACAACATGAGTCTGCAGAACCATTTACGTGGCATTAAACAAGTTAATGCTTTTCCCCCTCACCACACTGTAGAAGAGGGATGGGGGCTTTTACCATCAGGCTGTGCCACTGCCGGTATATCAGCCCCATCTCCAGCTGAACCCGGGGACACAGAGCAGCAGCCCTACATGGATCTGAACCACATCTAATATGTTACCTGTTGACTCTAATACTTTGCTCGGTCATAAAGCCTTATGGTACTTAACATCTTTCAAATGAAGAGTGGAGGGGGTTGGGGAGTGTTTTAAGTCTCACAGTTCCTCTGTGAGGTGGGTGCAGATGGGAGAAAAACAAAGGCAGGACAGGTCAGGAACTGGCTGGGAACACACTGACTAGCAGCAGGGTCAGCACTGGAGTTGCCAAACTCACAGCCTGTGCTTGTGGCACTGTGGCAGCTGCTCTCAAATCTCCACTGGATGTCCACCTTCCAATAAAGCAAGTCCAGAGGAGGGCCATGAGTTGATAAGGGGACTAGAGCACCTCCCCTATGAAGACAAGCTGAGAAAGTTTGGGCTGTTCAGCCTGGGGAAGAGAAGGCTGCATGGAGACCTCATAGCAACCTTTCAGTATCTGAAGGGGGCCTACAGGGAAGCCAGAGAGGGACTCTTCATCAGAAACTGTAGTGACAGGACAAGGAGTGATGGGCACCAATTGAAAGAAGGGAAATTTAGGAAAATTTAGGAAATTTTAGATATTAGGAAGAAATTTTTTACCATGAGGGTGGTGAAACACTGGAACAGGTTGCCCAGGGAGGCTGGGGATGCCCCAACCCTAGCAGTGTTCAAGGCCAGGTTGGATAAGGCCTTGAGCAACCTGGTCTAGCTGGAGGTGTCCCTGCCCATGGCAGGAGGTTGGACTTAGATAATCTTTAAAGTCCCTTCCAACCCTTAACATTCTATAGTTCTATGACTCTACGAATTTTAAAAGAATATAAAACTATTTATGGAAGTAACTTTAAAATTACTTTTTATATTATCTTTGATAGTTTGAATTGTTGCTGCTTCCCTGTATTCCACTAAATACCAAGAAGTATAATCACTGTGCTTCTCTGTATTCTACTAAAGAGTCACCTTTCAATAGCCCAACCCTGGACAATATGAATTCTCCTGCTGGTTTTACTGCAATTTCTTGAAACCAAGAAATTGTTTTTGTCTTTGCCAGATTTGGGCTTAAAACTTGAGAAGTAACTGACCTGTCATTGCTGGATCTTTGCAGCCACTTTTCAGCGTTGAATGCCAAGTACCCCAGATATCAAAATGATCTTCAGAAACATCTAAACAGCAGTAAAAGCAGGGGAAAGATGATGAATCAATCCTCTTAAAGACATTATTAAGAAATATACCAGTGGAATGGTAAAACCTTGTATATGTTATCAGAGTCATTAACATCTGTTAGCATCTTTACTGTGCACCTAACACAAACATCTCAAATGTGAGACCCCACCTGGAGTACTTCATACAGTTCTGGTGTCCCCAGCAAAACGACATGGAACAGTTGGAGCAAGTCCAAAGGAGGGTTGTAAGTTGATAAGAGGACTGGAGCACCTCCCCTATAAAGGCAGGCCGAGAGAGCCCATTCTAACCCCTGAGTATTCTAAGTATTTGTTCACAGCTATTTGTTGTTTCAGGCTCAGATCCTGCAACGGATTCAGCAAGCTCTGTGTGGGGAGAGCGCCTGAGTTGGCTGAGTCCTTAAGTCCTCTGACTTATTGAATCCAGAGAATTTGCCACAGGAACAGGACGATATGGTCCACAGAAGGTAGTTTCTGGCAAAGCTCCCTCAGGCAGCCCCAGCCCCAGGGGTCACTGTAAGGCATGCTCTATCAACCCAAAGATGCTGCTGGTCTTACATGGAAGTGCAGCCACAAAATAGAGATTTAATGAAATGCACATATCAGGCATTGTGCTGGATTATAAACAGTTTCATGCCTTCTTCTGGTTCCATTTGTCAGTAGAGGAATTCCCTAATTTGTCATGGCCCACTACTGTTGTGATGGATATTAAAGTCCAAAAGATGGTTAATACAATAAAACTTCATGTGATTTCCTTTTCATAGCTTAATAGAAATCTGAACAAATGTTTAAACCTATTCAGAGATTTAGATGCTGAATATGAAAGATAAATGCCCACTGGCATTTATAAAGCATATAATTGAGATATTAGTGTAAATCCCATTAAATCCCAAGGGAAGTGCCTAACCAGTACCTCTGAAATAAAACTGTTTCAAAAATACCACCAAACAGTTATGTGCATCCCTAAGCATTGAAAATTCTTTAAGTTTGGTTCACTAAGTATGAATTTCACGGATGACAATTTTTTTAATACATATTTTTATAGGAAAAGCATCTTGAAGTGCTGGTGAGCTATTAGACTAAACCCCAGTTCTTTACCAAAGAAATCATTCAGGTATGCACTCCCTAGGTAGCTACAGAAATTATGTATCCCTGCACTAGTATTGCTTGGTGTGTAATTGGCTGCAGATGTAAAGCTGTGCAGCTCGGCTATGGTCTCCAGTGAGAGGGTGTTGAGGTAAATCTTTACAGTTGGAGAAAATCTGTAGCTTGAAGTCTCAGATTTTTCCAGTCTGGACCATAACCTTGCAGGCATTACAGTCCCACAGATCAGGACTAGACTTTGCCATGCTGTCACAGATAGGCTGAAAAGCAGGACATACATAATTCTACTTTCCTAAAAATAGCTCCAAGTTTTGAGAAGTGCTATACCAAGAGCATTCCTGACAGTTGGCTGAGTTAATGGGGAGGACTCAGCACAGACCCTTTGGGCTCAACACAAAAAAAAGGATGTTGGTCTGCCATTTTTTTGTAAGGTTATTTACATGATGGCTCCTCAAATCATGGTAGCTGATAATCCAAACCCAGCACTTTTCAATTACTTCAGAAATCCCCATCAGTCACTGAGCAGGAGGCACTATACCTTTTCCAGCCTGTGATGCAGAAGAATTCTCCTTCGGCTTAGGTTGCAAGTGTCCAACCAGCATGTACTGCTCAGGTACCTTGTACAGCTTATCTGGGCTGCGAGCAACTTCTTCTTGTGATGCCAGCAGCGAGCGCTCAGACAGTACCGGGGAGTTGTTGTCATATGGGGAGACATCGCCACTTGAAGCTTTGTTGGAGTCTGTGGAAGAATGTCTTTCTCCTGCGGAGTAGGAACCTTCTGACCGCATCATCTCAGGGCTCCTGATAAATTTTGATAAACAAACTACTATTAATAAAAAATGCTTTATGTTCACAGCTAGAAGTGCAGTTCAGCATCAAGACCAGGTTGAATGGGGCTCTGAGCAACCTGGTCTAGCGAAAGGTGTCCCTGCCCAAGGCACGGGATTTGGAATTAGATGATCTTTAAGATCCCTTCCAACGCAAAACATTCTATGATGATACAGATAAAATCAAATACACGAGAATGGTCACAGCTGCTGAAATGAAAACCCTTCAGAAGCAGTTACAGAGGTGGATTTTCCATGAGTAAAACTTTTGTCATGAAATGGCCAGCAGAGGCCACTCAAACTCAAAGGATGTTGCTGTCGAGAACAAAAAAAACCCCACACAACTGTACAGTAAACCACAGGAAACTAAGCAGTGAATCAATTCCTTATGTTACCTTGGCAATTTAGCTTGTTATAGCAGTAAGCTGAGGGCACGATAGGGAAAATTAATTTGATGCTAAGCAGTATGCTAAAATAATTTCTTCTATTGTGAAGTTTTGCACAGTCAGTGAAATCAAGCACTCAGCTCACCTTCATGCTATGAGAATGATTTTCTTCTAGACACATCAGAAGGTAAATATTCTACAAGGGACAAATAGATGTATCTACCATACTTATGACTGCAGCAACAAGCAACTGGCTCTCCTGATACCTTCTACAACTTCTTTTACCTTTTCACCTTTACATCAGCAACTGCATTTAATTTGGACAAAGAAAGGCAAACAAAGCCCCTGACAAAGTACAGCCAAGGCTCAGAGAGACAACTAATTTTTGAAATGTGTTGGGAACATTGAGGGAGATTTCTTGAACTGTCACAGTTTACTACACAGAACAGGAGGCAAGCTGTGAGTCACTGTGAGTCACTGAACATCACAAAGAATATGTAGAAATACTCTGTAAACAAACATAACTTTTTTCCCTATTTTTCTCTAATTCTCTAATTAATATTTCTCTTACTCATTTTTAATTTCTCTGAACCTTTGTTTTTTACATACTCATCTTTTCCTTCTCTTGAGTCAAACACTTCTCTGTGACCTCTTGTTAGTATCTGTTCTAATTAAATGTGATACAACAGAGGCTCATTCTTGTAAATGTTTGAAAATGCTCAGCCCTTCTCAGAGTCAAATCCAAAGACAGCTTTAACTGTGTGAGCAGCCAAAACTCATTTCTCATTATGGAACAATAACCCCGTTTCCAGACAAATGAAATAAAACTGCAGAAATAAAGAAAACACACAGCTAGCCACAGAACATTAAATATTAATACAGAAATAATGAGAAAACTTAACTTTCAAGCTGTTTTTTTTTCACCTGGTCAATTTACACATTGTATGTCTCAAAAAATAAAATATATACACTCAACAGCATAATTATTATGTTAGTCAATATTCATTTTTTTTTCAGTATAAAACAAACCATAAAGCATTGGGAATTAATTAAATAAGGTTACTCCTCACTAACTCTCAGTGAGAAAACCATCACTGAACTGATCCTATCCTGAACTTTAACTGGGGCTTACTCAAACAAATAGAACTGTCATTTGGCTAAGTAGCTCTGTTCCAGGCTTCCCAGTGTGTTAATGTTGAGGAGTCATTAATTTAATTAAAAAAAAAAAGACAAAAAGCCTCAATTAGGTAACCTCTCATCTCAACTTCTCCTCTGAAGATGAGTCCAACACAAATTAATCGACAAACAGCCACACACCGAGGAATTATTGTATTTTAAGTATGTATAATTCTATTACAAACCTTTTTTCCCTTTTTTTGTCCCTTACTTCTTTCATCTGTCCTCCTAAGTTCTAAAAAACCCTTGCACAGTGATATGAGATTTAAGTAATGTCTTGGGAATTTAAGAACTAGAAAGACCTCTTAGAAAAGGGGAGAAATATTAGAATCTATAGGTTTCCTATGACCAAATGTCTTTCTCTCCAGCTTTCTAGACCGAATGTCATCTAAAGCTCACCCTGCCAACTTACAGACATACTTAGCACTAACTGGTGACATTACTGGTGACACCAAAAAGGCTTATCACATCTAAATCTTTGCAGCACCAAAACCTAACTGTACTGCAAAGACAGAGGTAAAACCACCACTCAGCCATGGCAAGGTAACACAAGGAAGAAGGGAAACAGAAATGGAAATGAAAGAATGTGGGAACATAAATTTGAGCTTTGTGAAACACTGATTTCATGTCTTACCTTGAATGATCTGTTATAGTCTATCTCTTCTCAAGACAGAGCTCCTGCTAAAAATTTACCTGAATGGAAACTTTCAAGTCTTTCAAAAGATTCAAACATTCAAGTTTCTAAACTGATTTACAGTTTCTGCTGGTAAGACCATGCTATTATATATATATATATATATAAAAAAATAACTTTCAAATTCAAAAATAGCTTTAAAAATCAAAGGATGTGCCTGTGGATTCTGTCAATCTTACTACAAAAAAATCATCAAAATGGATTGAGTACTTTAAAGCTGGAAATTGAAGTCATACATTTGCTATGCTCTTCATGAACAAAATAAAACACAACTTGCAAAAGACTTCAGTTTGTATCTTTGCAAAGAACAAATTCTCACAAATTCCTTAAAATAAAACTGTTTGCTTTATTGTTTGAGTTCATTAGCAAACAGATGTTTACTAAAATTCAAAATTCTTCTTCCCTTGGATAGTGAGATTCTTTACCGACACACCAGGGAAAAACTAAATTGGGAAGCAAACTTCGCAAGATACCCACTTGTTTATATGCAGTCTGTGAAGAAGGGCAGATTATGGCCCCCACAGCGAATAAATAGATGATTCTGTGCAATCAAATGTGAGAAATGGGAAGGCACGTAAAGTATTTTCCAGTGGTTATGAACTATGTTAAGGAAAATATTTAAAAAGTAGTTAAGTACAAATGGAAAGGTTTGAAAGTTGCAAAATCAACCTATGCCACATGAGTTCAAAAATATGATTTCAGATTCCAAACCAACAGGCATCCTTCTATGAATTTATGCTAGTCACCAGAGTCTACTTGTATGGATAAACTGGTAAAATGTTAATAGTAATACTTACTTCTACTGGGGATATTCCTACTTTTCTACTAGCATCAAAGTTATCAAAACAGAAATCCCTTTCTGTTTCTGGCAGAACCCCTTTTCTGCGATACCTTAAAGCTTCTGAGTGGGAAAACAATTATGCCTTCAAGAGGCAAATCATATGGTGTGTGATGGCTTGGCAGCACACAGTAATTTCCACACATATTTGAGCAACACAGGTGCCACCAACAAACCAGATTACTATGGGATTATGATGTGGTTGCTACTATAACAGGGTAGAGGACTCCATGATTCACAGAGCCTCTGCAGCTTTGAAAACTGCATTTACACATACTGCATGACCTATGGCTTAATTTTTGTGCCACAGGTCAAGATGGATTAAAACTCATCATCATAATCCAAAAACATAAACAAATTCTGTAACTTTGAAACTCATCTGCTCTAAAAGGACTACTAACCATTATAAGCAATAAATAATCATAAGAAATAGATTTTATTTTTTGTTAGTTTAAAGATGCTTCATCTTACAGCTGTAAACCCCAAATTCCATTGTCATCAAGCCAACATACAAAAAACTGGGGAGTCATCCACAAAAGCACACTTCACAATTGCTGCCATTTGTAATTAGCGCTTTACCATGAACAACTCTCAAAAATTCCCTGACACACCGTTCACAATGCTCAGCTCTTAAGAGAACTAAAAGATGAGAAATATCTGATTTGTCTTCTCTGGGGAGGAAAAGAGACTGTGTCTTCTCTGTTAGACCAGAGCCAAGAAAGTATTTATAATGACAGCAAAAGCAGAAATGTGAGGGCAAGTGCAGAAGCAGGACCGCCAAAGCAATTAATGTGACATTAAAGTCTTGAAGCTCATTCTATACTCTACTATATGCAGCCAACTAGCTCTTCTGATGAAGACTGTCTCAAGAATATGCAAACTTTTCTGTTCCACAGATCCTCATTTGGATCTTGAGTATGTGACCAGGCAATTTCCAAGAGCAGTAAGGATGCCTTTTTAAGTCTCACTTTTATGAAATCAAGACAAACATCTCCTTGTTGTCTACTGCCTCACATTTCTTATTGGAAAAATAAGCAACAAATATGTAGCTTCAAAATTGAGATTATGCTCTGAAATAGATTCATCTCTTAAGAGCATCACACTCCTAGCAATAACACTTAAGCAACATTCCCTCTAATTGCCTGGAATATCTTAACCAAGAAGTTGCAATCACAGTGAAAACATATCTCATTAACATTAAAATAAATCACTTACATGATAGCAGAGTAGAAGAAAAATGACAGATAGTAAGTTTTTCCTATCTCAGTGATATTTATCTGCCCATTACTGAAAACACAATAAATTAGTACTAATGTAGCTATACGTTCCTATTTGGCTTCAGAACCTTTCCTTACAAAATGCCTTTTGTCAGTTGTGACCACCTTTCCACAATAAATCCATTTTCTCCTGTAACTGTGCATGCTGGCTAAAGGTAAGGAAGCTTAAGGAAAGGTCAGCTAAAGAAACAGGATCTAACAGTAACCTGTTACATCCACAATGATTTGTGACTAAGTTATGCTCAATTGATATGTGTAGTCACACATGAGACACAATTTTACGTCTTTTTATTATATAGACATTGAAATCCAGCATGAAGGTTTGCATTAGCTTGAGTTAGAAATAACATGATCATTCCAAACTGAGGGCTTAAAAAAAGAAGTCTCTACAGACTTTACCTTATATCATGTGATTTGCAGTCTCTCCTAATTGTAATCCTGGCTCGTGGCAAATGTGAAACAAGTGTAAAAAACAGCTAATGTACTTGTAAACTATCTTGTACTTATTGTGATCTAAATACACACATGTTTACTTGTCGGTTAGACAAACTGGCTGAAATTATTTCACATAGAGAAAATTACCCCAAATCAGATATCAGTGATAATTTCCTACTGTTTGTTATCTGTTCATGTGGTTAAGTTAGCAAACTAATAAAATCCTATACAACACAATATATTCTGCATATATTTTTATTTCCAAATTTTATAACTGAAGAAAGCTTTTCCCCCTAGGTGTTTAAAACTTAACTATTTCTTGCATACCTCTTCCTTTAAAGCCAGGCACATTATTATATTACCTCCAACTATACAATGTTCAGAGGGAGAGAAAAAAAATTATCGCTAACTGACTGTTTAATTATATTCTGAATGCACTAGGCACTTTCCACAAATACAGGAAGACAAAGTCCAATCTGTCCTAGAGAGTTTAGAGTCTAGAAAACCTCTTAAAAATCCCTTACAGTAAGTCTGTCAAATTTTGTGATTTTTGGGTCTGACATATTGGTATTCAGTAGAATAAAGACAATGACTGTGTGGTCCCATGAGGAAGCCAGGAATCCTGTTAAAATGAATGTACAAACTCATAGCATTAAGGCACAAGAGTGCAGGCATATATACACCATACACAAAGTCAAAATATTACATATATCATAACTGCAAGAGTGATCGGTGTGGGTTTTTTCTCTTCAGATCTTTCACAAAGCATACAATTAAATAATATCCAAAGAGTCTCCATAAACGTGCTGTTGTGGCAGTTGATTTGTTTACAATATCCTATGTGTACACGATAGGAAAAGAACAACAAACTGGTCAAGCGGCTCACCAGGCTGGTGTTAAGGCACTCCAGAGTGTGTTTCAAGGATAGTGGAATAACGCCTCCTGTTACTGAAGACTACAATAAACCCAAGACATAAACCAGCAGATCACTAAAAAACATCCTGTCAGGTAATAGTGCACTGAATAGTCTTATGTACATGTCACTGTTCTCTGCAGTAGAACACAATCTTTCCTCAGAACTGGGAAACAAGTTTTGTCTTTAGAAAACACTGTACAAGAGTCATAATTTCTTTGGCAGAGTCCGTGTAATGGGGAGAGTAGTTCTACACCACTGTAGACAGTGCAGAAGAGCTGTGGAAAACTGGAACCTTTTGAACACTTCCAGCGGGAGATAGAAATTCCCAGCAGAAACAGGGATGATGAAAAAACAGATTACTCACGATGACTGGGAAGCTTTCCTCCTCAACAAATAGTCCACAACATCTGGGTCAGTCTCTAATAAGCTGATAAGCACTTCATTCTGTAGATCAGGGGAAACCTATGAAGATATCAAAAAATACTCAGCTGGAGATTAATATCCATTCACCAGTAATTTTGGTACTATGCTTAATCTAAAAGAACAAACACAATATGTTTACAGAGAGTACATAAAATATTCAGAAGCCTCCACTTAAAGGGAAATTTCATGTAACAAAAGATAAAGTAGACTAAGGATCACTTTGCACAATGTTAAATGCTGATTACTGTTGAATAAACAGTTGGTATCCAGTTGGTTTTTATACCTGATAATAACAGTGGGATTACTCATGTATCACAATGTCAAAAGCTTCAGTTTAAGGTCCTCACCTTACATCCCTATTGAAAGATCTGTGGACATTGACATTTACAAATCTCCATTCCAAGGAACTGTACTTCTCTTCTTCTAGAAACAATGTGAAATGTAATTACAACAGAAGGAGAATGTTTCTTCATATATTCCGTGGCATTTGACTTATTTATGTCCTTCTCTTATGGAAATTTCATGGTAATTGTTCTATCTATGAAGATCTTCAGTTGCTTCATTTCAATAAGGGTTGCCAAAGGTCAGCATTTTTCTAAATGAACCCTTATAAATATTTAATGTTCAGGTATCCATATGGCCAAATCCTGAGATCTTAGAAGCATTTAAATTCCTGCTTCTGCTCAATAAGACCTTGAATAATTATAGAGTTCACCTGTCCATAACTCAGGCTTACAAGTGGGTCCTGCTAGATCTCCAGCAACTCTGAGCAACAGGTTCAGCTGGAATTTATGTCACCTTCTTTGGAGTCTGGCCTTCTGATTTGTTAACGTTCTCTTTGCACTTTGTATGGAGGTGAACCTTCAAAATCCTTGATAGTTTCAGCAGATGCAGGATACAGCAACGTCTCCTGGGCATGTAGCAGAAATGGCACCCCAAATCTGCACAAGTAAACTTTGTGCTTCCAACTGCACTTTTCAGGAGTCTTATCAATCCTTAAGTGAGTATGTCTACATCACAGTGTAACATTCAACTCGAACTTCGAAACAATGAAACAGATGAAACCATTCAAAAAACTTGAACTAACAGCCCAGGTTCACTCATGACAGATAGAACTGGAGACAAGACAATTCCAGCAAGAGGTCATCAACTGGTTTTGGATGCAACTTGTCAGGGCCTGGATATCTTGGCCTTCAAGTCACACTGCATGGGCCATTTGTTCTCCCTGACATTTCCTGGAAAATAGGAATTACTAACAGATTGCCCGGAGGAATACCTCAGTTTGGGAGTTATTTAGGGAGTCAAGTTACAGAAAAGGCCTATTTCTTTAAATAAGGAAATAATTAGAAAACAAATGAAGATATGCATAATTTAATTCAAATTGATCCACAATCTCTATGAGAAACTTGTGTAACCACACATTCACTTTTTAAAATTTGTATTCAGTCTCTAAGCTGGAAAAATATCTTGCTGATGGTCCCTGATACACTAGTCTTTAAATAAATTACTTTATCTTTATAGGAATATATTTTTGGAAACCTAGTGTGCTGTAACTTCTTCATTTAGACAGCCCTTCTATACTGTACAATAAACTCCAGATAAAGTTTAAGGGTAAAACAGAATCCACATCTTTCTGTCTGAAACTTACTATTCGGTTTTATATCAAGTAACTTGCAAGAATCTACTGAGAAGATTTTGTCAGTAAAATAAAAATATGTTTTCCATTATTAAAAAAAAAAAAAAATCAATCTTTCATTCCATTGAAATGATTCTGAAAAAGTTCCAGCAAGAATTTCAGTTCCAACAGAAACCCAAACTTAACAGTTCTATTGAGTTATAGGGCTTCCATCTGAATGAATGAGGACACATTAATGAATGAATCTTCAACTGGATTTGTACTGATGGTCTCTTTGGTAGCTTTCTATAAAACTTCTTTGGGTTTTATTGCTCCTGTGCAGCAATTTTCTTCAGTTTAGTTAAGTAATTTGGTAAGTGTAGACATGATATGCATGTAATTATAAATTTACAGTTATAGAGAACAACAATACTGGTATCTCAGAAAGATGTCACAATAACTATTACTGAATTAATTGTTTAACTGGCAGTTGTGTCTGAATAGATGGATGAGAACCTGAAATTTGGGACAGAAGGGAAGCCAAGGCACTGCTGAAATAAGAGCTATTGAGAACATACAAGGATGTATCAGAGGGCTCTGCAGTTGTCAGGACTCCAGTACAGTAGATATTCTGATGTTTGGTGCTGGGTGCTATTATAAGAGTCATAGCTGTTGAGACACAAAAGGTGGAGAGACCCTTGAAGTGTCTCCTTTGTGCTGTTCCCTGCTACTGATGTGGCACAGAAAGGCAGTGTGTGCCTTTCTCTGCAGTGGGGAGGCCATAGTAGCCCCTAAGAGTAAAAATAAGAAATTTCATACACTATGTAGTGCTTCTTTGCAGCAGAGCTGGGTTTGGGTGCTAGGAGATGAAAATGCATGACCAAGCTGCTGTTCTCTATCCTCCATGCTGAGTCAAAGCCAAAAAGATGAAGGGTGGTTGAGTTGTGCCTCCTTGCATTGAGCTGCTGGACATAGTTCAGGGACTGGCAAAGAACAGTCCTTTATACATTTCCATAAAACATTTTAATGTATCCCTAAGTTTCACTGAAATGGGTAAGAATTGGATATGAAAGATCTCATCATCACTGATATCTGAAGAAAGGTTAGATTCCATCTTCTATAAGAAATCCACATTTCTTATTCCATATTGATGTTACTGATAGTTGCTTAGTAAAAACAGTGCTCAGTATCATGGGTTGTTCTGACAAACAGAACCTCCCTGACCACTAATATGTCAGAATCATTCTGATATTGTGGTCTGGGTATCCCAACACATCCTGGTTTCCTAGGTTTTGGTTCACAAATGTTGTTCCAGTTTCAATGCTGAAGCCAATCACAGTTTTATAACCTCCCCATATATAACAATAACAGAAGGAAGAAAAAAAAAAAGAAAAAAAGAAAATCAAACACAAAAGTACCTTAGTAGAAATACACTATGTTACAGCTATAACTGAATGTTTCAGTCCAGATGTTTTTCTTTTTTTAGTAGCATAAATGTCAAGTATAAACAGTAAAAGTTGTTCTGGAAAACAAAAGAAAACTTTTTTCCCACACTTCATTTAACCTTCAGATGAAAGTGCAAGTGCTGAAGAGACAGAGGAAAAAATCTGTCAGAATTAAAAGAGCCCATATGTAAGTTAGTCTAACCTTAGCCCCACCCTTTCCAGAGTGAAAGTTGGAATGTTTGCCTAAGTATTATGTACTGAGATGTGTCTGTGCTGCAAGAAGTTCTTGAAGAGAAACAGTAAGAAATCTTCAAGTATTGCAAGTATTCTTATTCAAGTATTATTTTAAACTTTATAGGGTCATCTCCACTCTGGGTCAGCAGACCTTCATCCGTGAGTGCAGTTCTATCACTTTCTTTTCCTGATGTTGAAGGAAAAATAGCACCTAACATTTCCCTAAACTGTGAAAAGCATTAAAAAAAGAAAAGAAAAAAAGATTGTGTCTCAATGATACAAGAATAAAAATATATGCAAGGAAAACCACAAAGAAGTTCATCTGAGGCTAAGATTGATAGGCAGGGCTCGTGACTGCTTTCTCATGCTCTTCTTCCTGTTGAAATCTGATAGACACCTTCCCCTTACAGTACTACATGGCCATCAGCCCACAGTTCAGGTTTCTCCATCTTCTTTCAACAAGGTCTCCAGCACTCAGTTTTGCTGAAGCACTAAAGGAGGTTTTCAGAGTGTTCTTCTTTCTGCTTTGGGAACTTATCTCCTCAGTGTAACATACAGTGCTGCTTAGTTTCAGGACATAACAACCAAAGCTATTTCCACTTTTTCAAGACTACTGGTTGTGTTAGGATGTGTATGTTTATTAAAATGAAGACAGGATAGTGCACACAGGTCTGACTGGCCTTTGCTACCCCAGAACAGGGCCCTCTCAGGCACAAGTCATACTGAAGTGGCCTATAATTTTGTACACAAAAAGAGCACAAGGTAAAGCCACAGAATTAACTGTCTAGGTAACTGCTAGGCATTAGGAATGTGATTTAACTAAGCTGCATCTTAAGTAAACAACATGTCCAAATCCAAGGCCATCAGCCTTCTTATGAAGAACTTCCTTGCTTCAGCAAGAGAACAGAAGGGAACTCAGGAACTACACAGATTTATGTTTTACTCCTCTTATCCAACTGAAAAATGAGAAAGCTTTGTCCTTCCACTTCATCCATGCAACAAAATAAGTTTCTGTTTCTTAAATTAACCAAGGATCTCTTAATCCCTGCAGAAAAACTGGCTTCTTGACTTCCAAAGCTGAGATGTGAAAGGTCATTTTCAGTCTTGTCCATGCATTGTTTAGTATACAGCTGAATAGCCAACCCCATCATTTCCACAGACAGAAATCTTCTAAGAAATATACCCTTAATTACACAGAAATCATTCCAGGCAAGATTTAAGTACACATTTTTGATACTTTTACTTACTGCAAATCATTCTCCTTGACAGAAGACTAATTTTTTTTTTTACCGATACTAATTGATCCTAATGTAATGCAACTTCTACAGTTTATTTCATCTCGTCTGCTTTAAGACCAACCAGGTATTCTCTCTCTTATCTTAAAAATGTATAGGAGTAATATGAAAAAATATCCACCTACCATGAAAAGGGCTTCATAGTTTTCAATCATCTTTTGTACGACAGCTATGATAGCAGTACTCTCTTCAGCTCGAGCTGAGCTCTGAACTGAGAATTCTTTGTCTGTAGATTTCTGCTTGTGCAACAAGTTAGGGCCAAAGATGGTAGCCAGGTTAAGTGATGTCATTTTGTTCCCAGTAATCTAGAAAACAGAATATAGATGAGGTGGAGTCTCACAGGGTGTAATGTATACACACACTCAAACCCCTACACACCCACACAAAAACACACACACTCTCTCCTTATTTTCACAGATGTTTCATTCACCAAAACCAAAACCTAGCACTAAGTCAAATAAAAAATGAATAATTTTTAGAAATCTTGAAACACCATGTTTGAACATCTCTGCAACAAGTACTGTGGGTATCCAGGATATATTTTTAAATTAATTGGAGGAGTAGAAGGTGGAAGTACTTCCTGCCCTTAGTTCCCTGGAAGTTCGACAGTGGCATACTTCTGAACTCAGAGAAATCTCCCTCCTACTTCACCATCCCAACATGTTATTGTCTCTTAGGACCAAATACTGAAAACTCCTAGCTTTCTCAAATAGCACTCACAATTTGAAACCTATACAGTGATACTCTTCCATGTTTAAACACTTTAGATAACTAAGGAACAGGTACGTTATTTTTACTAGTATTTGCCTGCATTTTTGCTTGTTTGCTAGAACATGACATGTTTACTTGTTGGGTGAATTTTTTGGTTTGTTGTATTTTTACCTTTCTTCCTGCTTTTATAGATCTGTGCTCAAAGAAGCAATAGTAACCTGAATTTTGAGGAAGCAGAAGGCTAGGAATACATACCACACTAGACAAGAATGATCTGAAAAATATGTCATACATTGTTATATCAAAAATTTCATTGTTATATTTGTAATTACACTACTTTTTTTCCCTTCTATTCTTTCAACAGAGCAAAAAGTTGGGGTCATGTTCTTCTTCTCTCTGTCTCCCCTTGGTTGCTACTCTTGGAATGCAGAAGAAAATGCCAACAGTTAAGACTGTAAGTGAATTTTGGCCATTGCACCAGTACTTCTTGCAGGATTATAAAAAAAAAAAAATCATGAGAGTTATTTTTCATTTGTTTCAATTACACTTGAACTAACAATTTTACATAAGGACATGAAGAGGTACCAAAAAGAGGCAGTAATGGAATTCCAAGGAATGAGTGATACAAAATGGATTTTCTCAAAGCAGTATTTTTAAATTTTTTTTGTAGCTGGTCATTTACTGAATACTCCAGTTAAACTTACAACTGTGCACTGACTATACCTGGTTTATCTTTTACAGAGCTCAACTAGACAGCACAGAGCTGACGGTAAAAAAGAGTTTTTCCTTTTACTGGTGAGACCACTGTGTAATGTTGGAGAGACATCTGCACTAAGTAGGTGGATGGGCAGTCATACCAAACATGTTGGCTCTTTGTTCAGAGACTCATCCCAGCATGACTGTGAGAACAGCACACTCCCTTATTTGCACACCACCATGCACCCAGCTGTTTCTCGGGTGACCTGCTTTTTAAACTCTGTCTGATTTTCAAGTCACCAAGGATGCAGAGGCATGTGGTGCCTCCAGTGTGCCAGGGGCAGCCTCTGGCTGTGCCTGGATCTGCATGTGCAGGCTGTTTGTACAAATAGTGAGTCTTTTCTTAGGGGCAGCCTCAGGGCATCCCTTAAAAATGTTGTAAACATATCCACTGAAATGAACTGAATGAGTAATTTTAAAAGTTAGTCATCCATCTTCATCTTTGTGAGAAAAGGGCTCTTGAAAGAAATCATGAAGAGGTCCTGCGTGCCAAAGCTTGGCTGTTTTCCTTCCAGTGATAGCAAACAGTCTGATAAAATACTTTCTCTTGCCCTGTATGCCTTTATTCTCTTAATTTTTTAATTATTCATAAATGGCTTAAATAACTGTGAGCAGAATACTGTATTATCTATAAAAGGTATCCAGTTGCACATAATATTCCTGATGCTTACAATACTGTCAAGAGGGCTTACATAAATTTGCCTTGCCAAAATACCTGTGGCAGAGCTGATGTACTGTTAAGTGGAATGAAAATGCCTTTAATACAACTGTTGGGCCAACTCAACTCTCTTAAGCAGGATCTCCTAGCCCTGCAATAAGATCCTCTTGGTTACATTCCTGAACCAACAAAGAACTTTTTGCAGGACCAAGGGGACCATGACCTTAGCTGGCTTATACATGTTTTGAAGCACAGTAAAACTGTTACAAGCTGCTCTTTCTAAGTGCTTTCTTTCCATCATAGTGGTGTAGTTTTTCACCAACTCCTTGCTAAGAACAAAGATAATACTATTTAAAGTGAATTTAAAAGTGAAATAGACCTAGAAGTCACATGCAGCACACTGGAAGTTAGGACTTCAGGCAGAAATCAGGAAAAACTTAGTCTCAAAGTGCCAATTGTTAAAACCAGACAACTGCAAAAGGTGTCCAAATTTGATGAAATCAGTAGGATTTTCCATCTGGAAGACAAAATTCTCTAGGAGTTTCAGAAGAGTCTTAGAAGTAACCTCAGAAGTAGATTCAGCTGCAGTTCAGAGGAACAGAGAAGTCCATCCCACAGATAAACCAGTTCAGTTCTGTTAAGCAGTGACAGACTGTATCCATTCCATTCAAAGTTAACTGAGTTGCCACCTTTTGCAGAGCACTCCACTAGTCCAAGTCTTTTCCTGGTAGAAAACGGGAAGCCTGGATTTTCAGGTCTTCTCTAGCGTGAACAGGCACAGATGCAGACGTGCGAAGCTCTGAAGTGCAGCTCAACCCCACTGCTATAGGTATTCTTGTATCTGTGGGGTTAGTGCACACCAACCTCTCCACTGAATTTGGTCCAGACTGCAACAGTAAGGAGGCCAGAAGGAAAACAGGCAAAGATGAACACCGTGACTCCAGCTAGTGATGAGGTCTCTCAGTTGAAAGGATACAGCTGGAGTTCCGGTCCTTTGTTTTTTATTTTTCACTACCCAGTGCACACAAGGAAGCTAAAGGAACTAAGAAGTGAACTGCTGTGTCCAAAGGTCATATAAGAAAGTAACAACAGAGAACAAAAAGAGAATGAAAAAGCATATTCTTGTATGCCTGACCTCTTCTGAGTACTTTTTCCACAGAACATAATAGGATAAAACAAGGCTAGATGGATAACATTATGAACAAGGTCGGTTACGCTGCGAATCAAGCAAAGGAAGTCGTAGATGCTTTACTGATTAAGTCATACAAAAATTAAACTTTCACAGCCCTAAGAACATAGTAAACAACCAAATGGCAAAAGTGTAGGCAAGTAGATTAAATGTCTCCCATCTTTCAGGGGTATGCCACCACTGTGAATGTTTCAAAGTTTTAAAGATCTCTTTTCAGACCATCAGTTAAGGAAAGTCAAAGGATACAAGTGACCAGGACTTACCTCTTGGCCATCTTTGTCTCTGGTGTCTTCTGCATGGCCAGCCACTGTGGAGAGGAACTGCAGCAGCCGGTGTAGGGTATCGCAGTTACAAGGAGGTAGAAGATAAATGAGAAGCTGTAAGGTGCTTAGCTGTTCATCTGGCTCTAATACTAAGAGGGGAAAAAATATATTCTAAGAAAATCACTCCAACTAACCTAAAAGAAGAACAAATAGACTGTTCCCAGCCCAAGGGAAGGCATAAGAATAGCTTTGTTTAAGGATCATTTCCCTTACAACGTCAGAAGAAAAAGAGAAAACTTGAAGGAAATATTAAAAGTGCAACAACTACTATTATGAGATTTTTGCCTTGGTTGATCAACATTTCACTCACAAATTCATAGGAACTGTTCTCATTCTATAAGAGAGCAAAATCCATGTTGTACACTCCATTGCTGCAACTGGACTCCAAAATTCTGCTTACTTTTCTATTTACTCCATTCATTTAAGTACAGCTACTGGTATATACAGTAGCTGGCAAGCATCCCAGTCAGGTTTCTGTATAGTCATTTTTAATCAGTTTTCTTACAATTTTGCATCTTACAGAGGTCCTGGGAGATTGGAAAAGCAAGTAGAGATATAAAGGATATTCTGCAAACACCATCACTCGAACCATCTAAAGCGCAATGGTAGCCAGTAAGATGAGACAGAGGCAGGATCTCACACATGGGAGCTAGAAAGATTCTGAAGAACACAAACTAGGCAGCAGCTGAAGCTTGAAGGGTCCAACTCTACTTTTTCCTAAATTTGTGAGAGTCTGCACTCAGGCAACACATCGTACTTAATATGATGCCTTTGAGGACCATTAACTATGAAGAAACTTAAATATTTTAAGCTAGGATGGAATCTTGGTCAGTGAACAGCTCTAAAAATTTTAAGATACTGGGATTCAAACTGGAGTCTGTGATCAGGTACTGCTGAACCAATGACAGGGTCAGATTTTAATAGATAACATGAATCACATCCTATATACAAATGCAAAAATATGTATAATGAGTGAAATAGTTGCTGTTCTAGTTTTCTGGATTACACTTACACGGTATGAACACAAAGGAAAAACCTCAGTAAATTTATACTAAAGGATATACTATATTATTTATATTATATACAATATTATATATATAACATACACTATAGTATGGTATATTATATATGGTATAGTATATTAGAATATACTATATTGTTTATAATACATTATACAAATATTTGGAGCAAATCAAGGCTAAAGCCTTAAATGCACAGAATAAAAGAAGATGATTAGTAGAGATAAAAGAATTCAATCAGGTTAGTTTTTCAAAATTGGTAAATAAAGATGCTGCAGAGCTCACAGAGAGTATTGATGAAAGGTGTATAAAGTTCTCTGGTGAGAAGCGGGTCAGGCATGTCACGCAGAAATTCCTTTAACAAAGCAGCAACATCATGAATGCTGTGCTCTTCATCTAATACAACATCTATGCCTCGGTCAAACTCTTCACGTAACTGGAAAAGAACATGTCAGAAAACCACAGTCACTCACTGTCCCAATTAATACATCCCAACATAGAAAATCTTTTAAGAAGTAGATTTATTAATTTTCACTTTCAAGCTTGGGCATGACTAGTTTTTGGTAAGGTCAAAGATATAATTCATGTCTAATTGTTGTTTATTTCATGATACATTACTTAAGGTTTGTATTAGACTGTAATAAAATATAGTTTTTTCTTTCCAGCTGATATATGACACTCTTACATGAAAAAATGTGCCCAAGTATAATTTTTGCAAAAATGCAAGATTCATATCAAAGGCAGAAACCAGAGAGAATAAGGAAAATGGAAAGAAAGGCTTTCTTATACCACCTTACTGCATTATCCCTAGAACCAGAAAGACTAAAATTGCATTTCATAACATTTACAATTTTGTACAAAACCATTAATAATAAGATAATGTTAATATCCACCAAACTCACATTTCTCTTGTGATTTAAGACTCTGTGTAAGGATAGCAGCAAGCAGACAGGTTTACTCAAACAGCACAGCACTCGTCCACATACACCTTGTTCTGCCTTTTAATTTAGTTATATTCACTAAGTGATCATCATTATGGAGTTAACATTACAAGGTATTGCTACTTTTTTTCCAGCTGCGGTCCTCAGACTAATTCTGTATAATTCAAAGGCATCATGATTCCAAAAGGCAGAAGAAATTCCTCTCCCATATCCAAGATACCTTATGAAGAGATAAAAGCCTGCCCTTCTGGAGAGATTTCCCAGCACCAAGAGCAGAATGCTTTCCTCAGGTTGACAGCTCCACCTTTTACTCTCTTTTCATTTTGAAAAGAGTCAAGATGTTTTAAAACTATTTCCTAGAGAAAATTCATACCTTTGCTAACATTATGAGGTATCACAATCTATCTTCTGAGAGAGTAATTACAGGTAAACCTTACTAAAAAAGGAAATTTGACGTATCAGATTTCTTTACCAGGAATATTACAGACGTACCAAAAAGAGGAAAGAAGCTAAGTCACAAGCAAACTATGTGTCTGTGATAATTTGTGGCAAATCCTGACCACGTGCAAACCTATCTTGAGTGTGTACAGCATGAAAATCCTGTGTTTTCAGTTGAAATTGTCTTTCATAATGGTTATGAAAGGTATTGTCTGAAAACCACAGCCTCCATTCTAATTTATTAGGATTACTTTTAACATTATTCATATCAGTCATTACTAATAATGAATAATTATGCTACTAAGAACAGAATATGTTCTTTATCTAGTATTATGCTTCCCCCTGCTGATCTGTGGTCAAAGATTTTTAAGTGCCAACTTGAGGACTTCATTGCTGGCTCGATTCTACTCTCCAGACTGGTGGCAAATGCAGAAATCTCCATGGAGTACCATGAATTATCTCAATCCAGAAGATTGCTTCTGCATTTACTGCCCAAAAGCAGCTGAGGAAACAGATTAACACTGCATCAGGAATTCAGACTTCTCAAATAGCTGTCTAAATCATAAACTGCTGTTACAGCCTTGAATATGGCATTTCTGATATCTACTGAGGCCTATAGAGATGTCCTACGCAGCACAATATCAGATAAGCTTTGGTGAGACATGGTCACATTTCAGGCCCAGGTACCACAGCTGTTAAAAGTGTGTATTTTTAAGTTTAAACTTTCGGTCTCTCAGACTCCACTCAGAGGGAATACTTTCAGACTTTTGTCTGAAGATACTTATGTTGAACTACAGCATCCACTGGAGCTTATGATATGAGAGATAAGGACATCCATGCCGGGAGAGGGGATGGGAGAGCAGAGCTCCAGCCATGTCACTCTGCAACCTCAGAGTTGAAGCTGCCACCAAGTCACCAGGCCCAGCATCGAGGGCTGCCCACCCTAACCTTGGCAAGAACACTCTGCTCAAGCATCTGTATCGTTTCTGGGCACAACATGGTACCTGGCACCCCAATGCACCAGACCTATCGCCTTGAGTCAACACGAGCTCAGGAATCTTTGTTCTACACCCCACTGAACGTGAAGGAGGAGGTTTGTAATAGGTGCACTTGTTCTAGATTTTCTCTTCCTTATGTATTTATTGCAACAAACTACAGTGGAAACATTACATTTTCTAACTGGGAAAGGAAGGAAAACAAAAATATGCTTACTTTCTAGACAAGGAAAACTAATGAACAGCTGGAAAAGCACACCAAAATCTGAGTCCTGGGTTTGGCTTTCCATGGTTCAGAAAATGAGTGGAATTTTAATTGAATCCAGACTTTCCCATGTGTTCATGTTGACAGCATTTATTATTGTAACTGCAAGGGCCAAGCTGATGCTTCCTTGCTGTTTAATGAAATATACCATTTTATGTAGTTCAATAAATTAGTCAGTGTAATAGAACACATAGATACCCAAATCTTTTTATTTCCTCACCTTTTGAAAACACAAGAAAAACTGGTGAAAGTCACTGATGTTCAAAGTAAAGCTTAGTTCACAAGTAAATGATAGAAGCTCTCTGCTTCCAGAGGTATGATGCAATTGTACTCACCCCTAAATGATAATATGTGTTTTGACATTAAAGCTTGCAAGGCAACTTCAATACTTTATCTAGTTCAGCGTTGACCTAACAACTGCCTCTGCAGACCACAAATGTTTTTAGCTTAGTGTTACACCAGCCACTCAACAACAGAAACTGCTAGAGAATAAGCTACAAAATCAGCAGGCTATACTGTCCTACCAGCCAAAATCAATTCAGTTTAGCTACTCAAGGTAACTTGACAGAGCAACAAAACATTACACGGTTTTTGCAACAAAGTACTTCTGGGATCAGATGCAGTCAAGCTTTCTTTTGCTTTTTTTTTTTCTGTTTGATGCTTTTTGTCTTATACTTCCTGCGAGGGGTATTTTTCTGTAACTTTTTATCCCCTCCTTAAACATCACACAAACATTAATCACTATTTCTTACTGCTCTAACCCAATGTGTATTCCCAACTTCTGGAAATAACAATGCAATATCTAGGGGTGAGGTAACACCCACTTCTGACTTTGTCTCTGAAACCTAATTGTACACCACCTTTGATTTTTCATCATTTGGTTGATATTAAGACTTGGAAGGACCTGCTCTGACCTTCAAGTTTAGCAGGGGTAAAAGAGAGGTGACATTTAGGAGCAGCAATCTGAGGGTCAAAGAGATTGTTCTGTACTTGCATGTTTTCTCATACCGTGAGTTTTCAAAAAAAGATTTACAGTTTGAGTTTACTTTGGGAGCTTCAGCTGTTTCCGAGATGAAACAAACAGCCAAGTTGTTTTTTTTTTCCCTACAGTGTAACCTTTGGAAAATTTCATCACTGTGGTCTGTTTGGATCTCCAACCCTGTGATACTTTTGCAGAGCAAAACATAACAGACTGTTAACCTGCTGAGAACCTGACAAGGAGTTCACCACATGTAAAAGATACTGGAAATGGCCTGTTATGAGACATCAAAAAAACAAGTCACTGATCCAGAAACCCTGAATTTCACCAGGTGATGGATAGGGAGGAAATCACAACAAATGGAACCAGATTTGTTTGTATCGTAGCTGGAAGGAAAACCATATTGTAGAAGGAAAACCATATCCATATCCACTCACCTGTCGTACTCTCTTTTTTGAGCTTCCAACTCTGAATATTCCTACTGTCTGGAGACCTGCAAGTGTAGCACATCATAGAACTGTTTTATCATTAAATTTTCTCCTGACAATTGCATTCAAACCAAGCAATCTGAACTATATGTGTACTTAAAAGAATAATAAAAAACTAGTAACATATTTCTCCACAACCTTGTACTTACCAGGCTGAGGCAAGACTCAGTTGTGATTAAGAAGCCATCCACTGTGGTTTTTAAGGACCTCACCTAATCTGCAAAATGGTATCTCTGTGACATTTCCTGTGATGCCATTTTGGTAGTGCCACTGCTGCTGCATGAGGAACAGAGGTATGCAGAGAGTGAGGCACTGCTCAGGGTTTGGAGGTGGCACTTCCAGGACTGTCATCCAAGGGAACAGGTTATAAAATAACTAAACATGTGAGCATTGAGCTGTGTCTTTGATACAAGAAGCAGTTGGTGTTTGGGGTTACTCACTGGCTCAATAGTGCCTGTCAAGACAAAGTTGAGTTTCCTTCAAAGGGACATAAATAGGGCACTCAGGCAGACTATGAGAGGCAAGAACTCTACACTGGAGTTGTGCAGTTTATAGGGTAGGAACAGTTTTTATATAGAGGGAAAGTTATAAAGAAGCAAAGTGCAAAAGTGTGCCATTTAGACTTAAAGTGATTTGGAAATGGGTGTTGCCTGCTATTCCATAAGAAATTAGTTCAAACCTTCATCTAGCCCTGTAGATACCACCAGAGTATCAAACAAACAATAACATGGTTATCAAACGGACATACTTTGCAGACTAACAGGACCAGAAAAATTTGAGAGTAAATGCTACCCTAGAGGTGACATGGCCTTTAGCAATGGCAATGTGAGTGGAAATTTTAGAGCCTTAAGGAGCTGTATACTTAATAGAATTTTACAGAGTTATACATTTGTGCAAAAAGGATGAAATTATCTACAAGTTACACTTATAACGAAGGGATCTGTCACTTTGCAATGGTGTTTGGAGTTACAGATTTTCATCAGAGAAATTCAGACAGGATTCTGATTTCTCATTTTTAGTCTCAACATGACATGTCACTTCAGATCTTCTGTCTTTGATTAACAGAATATTACACTGATGGGATACCAATTAGTAAACCTAGAGACATTAGCAGGGAATCATCCTAGATGGAGATACACACATTGGGCAAAACCCACAGGCTGGTTATCAGTCCCTGCAAAGACATACAGTATTTGTTCTACACTTGACTCCTACAGGGAGTCAAGCTTTACATCTCTGAGACATGATGCCAGGAAAGACAGGTAAGGTGAACAAGGACAGGAGCTTTTATGGTTAAAAACATAACCCTTTTTCTCATTTAATGTTCAAAATTATCGTTTAAAGCATTTATCAGAAAACGCTGATGATTTGTTGCTGAAAAATCAGCCTAAAGGCTTTAGGCTTACTACGTATTTTCAGAATCAGAAACTTGGTCCATCATGTAGCCTTGAATAATGTTCCTACAGGATTCTTGCTAGAACTGGAAGTCCTCTATGACCCCAGGGAGCAAACAGTGATGTCCATCTTTTGCAATCTTTAAATTTCTCTAAGTCGTTCAGTCACAATGACTGTCTTGTGGACAGCAGATTAAATTGAAAAATGAAGAACATCACTATTTGCCCCAAATTATATCATATTATTGTGTTGTGGGGTACTATAGTGCACTCTTAGACAATGAACAATAACTCATCATAAATTTCCTTTAAGAGAAAACTTCCATGTAAAGCAAATATTTTAGTAAAGAGTGTTGTACAGAAAAGAATCTTTGTTATGACAGTGGGTTAAGGGGATCAAAAAAATTATCACAGATGATCAAGTGACATAAAATCACAGTATCCAAATGATACTCAGCTGAATGGCTTTTTTGGCTGACTCAGATACTTTTATGTTCTCCAGACTCAGCTATCCTTGCTTAAAGGGATGGAAATCATTCATCTCAACCTTAATCATCCAACACTTATTCGTCAGCCATGGTATCTAATCTCTGTAAAAGACTAACAGTGACTATCTTTTGCAGTGTTCCTTGATATATTTGTAAGCAACATAGTATTCAATTATGAATTGTGAAAGCTCAGCATTGTTGTTTAAATTGTAGTCCCTCATCTGCAAAAGCCTTTCATTCAGAGTCAGTAAATTATTTCTTTCTGGTGAAATTAGGCATCAAATGCATCATTTGGTGTTGCAGTCACCATTATTTTATGGTTTGTTTATTATCTGACCATGTGATAACTCTGTCTTGCTGCAGCCAAGTTATTTCAATTTTCATTAAAAAACTTTACAAGACTAAGATAGTTTGGCAGAGATGCTGAACAGATACCTTGCCTGACTATTGTTTCTGCATTACACAAAGCTGTGGGAGGTTCGTGTCTGGACAACCATGAAGACATGAGAAGAATATTGGCAGGAGTCTGTAACTCCCTTCGGAGAGAGCAGGCCTGAGTCTTAGGCTGGTCAGGAGGAATCAAGTCAGAGACAAACTGAGTAGTCAGCCTTCAAGCCTTGTAGAGAACAGGAAAAAGCTTCTCGAAGCTTAATATATATTTAGCATGCGATTTTTTCTTTTTCTGAGCCTCTATCTTCAAATATCAGAAGTCTTGCACTGTAGTATGAACAGTTCATTTAGCTCTCACACCATAAGATCCACTGGTTGTGAAGACTGACTCCAGACTGACCGGCACATTTCAAACTTTTATTCTCAAGGTATAGGTAATCCTGTGGGGTGCGAAGAGTCGTTCCTGCAGAGCTGAGCACCTCAATACATGATGAGTGACCTCCAAGAAAAACTCTATCCCCACGCTCTATGGGCCAGTTTCCAAGCTTGTAGCACAGAGCCCTAGTTAGGGAATTTATCATCTAAGTACGAGACAAGTAAGTCTCATACTGTAAGTGAGACTATCTTTAGCAAGAGGCAAAATAGGAGGGAAAGTGTCTAACTTTCAAAGATGACCTTGCAATTGGAAGCATATAGTTGCTTCTTAAAATGTGCATTTATTTATATTATAGTAAAAATACATCTGCCCCAAAATATTCTTACCATGCTTTTCCAAGTGCTGGCAGCAACTATCTACAAGCCGGGGAACCTGCCTGTAAATAGGGTTCAGGCTTAGTTTCTTATCTCTTGCTTTTTCTTTCTTGCTCTGGGCTTCTGCTGGCAAAGACAGCTGTAGAGCCTCCAACAATCGTGACTGATTGTCATCAAGATCTGTAATAGAGTCCACAGACATTGCACCCTGTAAAATACACACACATGAATAATCAGTATGGCTGGAGAAATATAAACGTCATAGGACCTCATCTAACAAAGAATTTGCCTGCCTGCATTTTAAACAAACTAATATGAAAATATAATTGGCTACAAAGTTTTTATAAATTAATGAAGTTATAATACCAGTGTAGTGGATGGGAAAATCACAATGGTACCAATGCTATTATTAACATTACAAGAAATACAAATTAAAATATTGGAAAACCTAAATGCTTTCCACTCATTCGCCACATCTTTTTACTGTTATAAACCTGCACATACTGCAGGACAAGGGTGAATCATGTTCTGTGTGTGTACATCAGCAGTACCATATTTATGTGCATGGAGACAAATACACATTTTTAAACCTGATTCCCTACTTCTTCTGTAGCTTGGACCATTGTATCAGAGAAACTCATGCAAATAGATTTAAAACTATACACTATATACAGTCAAGAGTTAATATCACAAATACATACAGTTGTGGAGTTTGAATTAATCCCACATTATCACAGAACAAAGACACACCAGAAAAGCAGAGGGGTAATATTCTTTAGATAATTCTACGTATCTTCATATTTCAAAATCATTAAAATTCCAGTGAAAGCTTTGAAAGCTATGTTTGGATTACAGCAAGGCACAGAAGTTCAAGCAGTCTGTAAAGGAAAAAGCAGTACAAGCAGCAGGAGGTTTATGGTATGTTTCAATGTTCACACTTGAAAAACAAGTGGGTTTTTTTTCAAACCACAAGATTACTGTCACTTCAAAATTACCAATTTCCTCAACTGTTATTAAACTTATCAGGCAGAAACATTTTAGAGGATATACAGGCTTACAAACAATAATAAAACAAAAAGAAAATTTTGGGGGTTTATTCCTATTAAAAATATGTTGTAAAGTTTTTTCTTTCTTTCCAAAACACAGCACAAATTTTACAGTAACACAAAAAGTACTGTACAGGGATCCAGTGTGTCATGTAAAGAAGAAAATGTAAATTCCTACTCAAAACTTTGCTGACAACTATAGTTTCTTAAAAGCACACTGTTCTGATGACAGGTATTTTATAGACTGCTATAGTTAGATCTCAATGTGTATTATATGAGAACATTGCAGCAGCCTGCAAGGGAATTTCAAGCTCTAGAAGTATTTTCTTCCATCAGCCCAGCCAACCGAACTTTACAAATATTTCCAGCTCATAAAAAGTCCAATGAGATTTCCAGTTCATTAAAAATTTCTAGTTTGTAATGTCTTTTCAAAAAAAAAGCATTTAACTTACCAGGTATAGTTATGTTTCTTATAACTCATGGAAGACATATAAATAAAGCACAGTGAAGTTTTGTTGTTTTTTTTTACCCACATTTCTATATACAATTACTAGACCCTTTAGAATGCAACTTTTGACCTTTATTTCTGATGTCTCTCAAAAGTACATCTGCTTGATTCCCTTTACCATTTCCTGCCAAATGGAAACAAAAACAAACAAACAAGCAAACAAAAACCCGAAACCAAACAAGAAACTCTGGCTAGGATCCATGTGTGCTAAATTCCAACTGAACGATTTTTTGATTTTGTTTTTAACAGTTTGGCATTCCAGACATCAAGTTAATTGATTGACACTGAAAATCCTAACACTGCCCTCACTGCTGCAGCTCCCAAGCAGATCCTATATGACACATGCCCTCCTTTATACCCTGCCTTAACTGGTCCTCTCCTGTCTGCAAAGCATCCTCATCTCATGAATCATTATTATCACAGTCACTTAAGTCGGATTCAGATCCCTAAAATAGATGTAAATACATTCAGTTCACCACTGTCCTTGGGCATTTTATCAAACTTGTGGATTAACTGGAGCTAGCTTTAAGAAGGGTGACCTTAAGTTCAGTGACTGAAGTATAGCACTGCTTGGCAATACCAAGTCCAAGCCAGCTCTGATTTTAAACTTCAAAGCGTACAGGAAAACACTACCAACATATTCCATGGATCCAGCTCAAACTCAGCTAGACCTATTAGTTCGGGCTCAGACAGATCTATAGGACAGTTGAGGAACAACGGAGGAGACTGTGCTCACTGCTGCCCACTACTCCAGGACTAGTAACACATACACAGTGATACTTGGACTGCAGTGCCCAACAACGGAAGAAAAACAAGTTCAATCTGCTAGGCATTACCTGTGTACATAATGGATACTAGTCCCTGCTCCCCCATGACAAGCTCAAAATCTAAATAAGCTGGGCAAGTCTTAAGCTAAACACACATAAACACAAAGGAAAGTGAAATTTAAAGAGAAGATGGAAAGAGCAAAAAGAAAATCAAGGCCAGAGGAATAGGTGTTCAATGAAGGTCAGATGAAGCTTTTCTTTACCATTTTACTTTTTTAGGGTTTTAGAAGGCTTTTCTCTTTTGAAAAGATGAGCAACATTAGAGTATGCATGGGATCCATTTCAATTCCATACATGACGCTATTTCAGTAGTAAAGCAGTATGACTGAACTCCTGATACTTAAATAAATTCTGGTTGTATTATATATATAAAGAATTAACAGAGAGTCAGAATTCTCTACAATAGGCACACAGAAAGTGCTTCGATGATAACCAGGGCCTGAACTTTCAGCTGCTGGGCAAAAATCATACACAGAAAATGCAGCAACAGTGATTTCTGTCAAGCTCTTGGAGGAGACAGAACCACAGTACTCATACCATGAGCTCTGCAGCCAGTATTACTTTATATCTCTTATTGAAAGTCTCAGCTGAGTGTTTGAAGACTCACTGGAATACACAAAGTGAATGACACAGTAGCAAAGAAGTGAATGGTACAGTGATAAGTAATCCCTCCCATTTAAGTTGGAGAGGACTGCACTCCAGGTGTCTATGCAGCATTTGTGTGATAAACCAGTTGTAACAGTTGCACGTACTAATGAATAATTTTTTAATTTTTTTGTAAGCATTTGTCTTCCTACACTTGAAAATAAACGGTGCAATAGCGCTCAAGAGATAAAAGGTAAGTGCAGGCTTCCTTACCATTCCCTAAAAAAACCTCGAGAGGAGTAAGTACACTGATAAGCAGAATTCTAAAGGCTAAAGACAGGCAAGATATGGCACATGAGTTGATATTAATGTTAAATAATTGACAACTCACAACGTACATTACCTGCATTCCTGACAGAAAATGCCAGCTCCCTCCTGTCATGCTGCCCACCTTAGTCTACCTTACTTCTCTGTAGGTGAACCATGTGCTACTGCATTCTCATGGCTATGGACTAAAGGTTCCATTTCAACACTGTGAAAGCTACAATCCTGGCATTAACAAACAAAAAAAACCCCAAAACCAAACAGACAAAGCCCCCCCTCCCCCAAAAAAAAAAACCACCCCAAACAAAAAAAAAGCAAAACTCTCCCTTTGCTTCTAGGAACTTGGTCCTGATGGAGCTCTATCCTTTAGATGTACCAAAGGATCACGTTCCTTCTGCTTCCTGGTTGGTTAAATGCATGTCACTGATCTTATCACACTTGAAAAGAACAGCAGATGACCCAAATCTGGACATATGAATTATTTTTTACTCAGGTTCTGAAGCTAAGGGGTGTATATGGTGAACTTCTATTTTTCGTCACCGACTATGCCAAATTCTGAAAGAAGTTCATGGGTTTCCCTTCACACTTAGTTCAAATGTGCTTTGCACTTTTGTGTGAACACAACTGTCTGTTCATATGGTTTGCACAGATCAAGAGATGTGCATTAATGCATATATTAGAGTGCAAACATCATGTTTTCAGCTATTTGTAGACAGAATATAGACACTTCTAGCTTCAGTTGGCAGCTAGAGTGAACAAAGAGCTTCGTGATCTGTCTTCTATCTTCTCTTAATTTGCAATTTACTCCAGTTCTGTCCCTCTTAATACTCTGAAGAGCCCTACACAGCATTTCCCTGAATCAGGTTTTATCCTAACGATGAAAGAAGGTGAGGTTCCTAAGAAGATATTTTATTTTCCAGAGTCTGTTCTTATACCCAAATTCTTGCTTAGATTTCTTAAAAGGGGTTTAATTTAAAGTATTTTATTATGCTTTTTTTTCCTCCCTCCATTGCAGATGAAATCAAAAAGCAGTAAATGTTAGAACCTCCATCCATGGTAGCAAAGGAAAAAGATTTACTGCTGTTACTGTACTACTGTAAAGTTCAGAGAGTAAAATTTACTTACAAGGAACAGAATCATGCTAACAAATGGTCAACTAGGTACCTATCTTACACATAGATTAACATTCTGCCCAAAACCAACACACTGAGTTCTGCTGCCAAAGGCATCTTCATAGCCTGTATGCAGAAACATCCTTCAAAGAGCCTTGTAAAAATCTACTCTGACAACTTCTTACTTACCACTAAGGACATGATCAGAATTAGAACATGAGGATTTTTATTAATATTAGGATAGGGATTAATAGTTAAGACTTACTACCAAGTTTGTAGAGTTAGTTTAACAGAACTGTATCTATAAATATCAGTCACATAGGTTTAGTCTTCTCTAGTATTCTTGGTTGAAGCCAGATGGAATTTGTTAAATCTAAAAGACTAAGATAGAAGGAGGTTGATAAAGGGAGCAAACAGGAAGATTTCTAGATAATCTCTCTACCCCTTTGTGATCTGTAACAAACTTACATAATCTTCTCCTACCAGCATCACAGAAAGAAGACTCCCACTACAGTTAAGAGTCTTCTGGTGTTGACCAGGTTGACTTCCACATGAAAAAAAATCCCACTATTTGAAATGCAACAAAAGAGGTATTCCACAATTCATAGACACAACAGGTTTTTTCCTGGTCCAGCTAGACCCTCTGGACCTACTGTCATGCATCCCCTTGTGATGGGTCTACTTACACGCCTCCTTGCTCGTGGCGCTGGCTCAGGTGTGTTAGGAGAAGTGGATTCATTTGGTGTTTCTGAGGTTGAGCTAAGAGATGAGTTACTGCTTGAAAGTTCTTTGTTCTGTCTTTTAGTTCCAAATGGCAAAAGAAAGGCCACAAAATCTGAAACATCTTTTTGCTCTTCTCTCTGAGAGTCTTGCTTGAGCTTGTAGGCCCGGTCATTAGCAATCACTTGGGACAAAGGCATTCCAAAAGCCTGGGGAATAAATTCTGCAACAATAACAACAAAACCCTAATATTTACCAAACATCTGCTATTTATTTATTACAAAAAGAATTAACGGTTAAGCTGTTAAAAAGAAAAGCAATCTGAAGTCCCTTTAAATATATAGTAAGTCCAATTAAGTACTAGACTGCATAATAATTACAACAGTGCCAGGAAATTGTAGCCCATGGTATCTGAATCCTGTCTCTAGTTGCATCATGAACGATACACCACACAGAATCTTGGAAAATCACTTGGGAGCAGAACTAATTAAGATCTTCACTTCCACTGAAAGTGAGTCAAGTCGGGCACTTCTAGTTACATCCAGATATTGCAGAGGGTCATCAGAAACTCTGGTAACCTCATCCTGAGACTGGGGAGGGTAGCTGGACTGTGCCACAACTCCCTCTCATTTTTCAGAGCCCTTCACCAGGCTTCTTTCTCATAAGTGTTGTAGGGCACCAGAGTCAAAGGGGTATCAGTACGTGCAGGATTTTCATTACAGTTCAGGAGAGTATGCATCTACCTGTACAGAGAGCTTGTATGTACATTCACTACGCAGACTAAGCCTTCAAGGATATAGTTTTAAATATACATATACTGTTTTAAATACTGATAAGACTAACCCTGTTTAATAGTGGTGTATCAGTATAAAGGTCCTTTGCAACGGTACAAAAATATACATGGATGTATAGAAATGCAGGGGAAGAAATGTTTCTCTCAGTTAACAAAAAGACATAATCCCATCCCACATCAATATAACTGTAATGTACAAAACCAGCATATACTTCAGGTCACTAAAATGCTTAAATATTTTACAAAATAGAAAAATGTTTTACAGTGAATCAGCCAACAACTAACAATAAAATGCTCATCATGAAGTTTCAAATCAGACCTATCTGACATAAGCAGAACCAAAACCATTGGAACAGACTTCCAACTAGAACTGGTTTGTGTTCAAACGGAAAAAATAGCTATTGATGCTATTCATTCTAATGAAAATGGGTGCAACTTCTACTAGGTTCCAGCTTCAGAACTGCTTGTATCAGTAATAAATATAGCAGCAGAGATCAAAACCTTTTTTTTAATTATGAAAAAAAGAACCATAAACCCCCCCAAAAAAACATAAAAAATCAAAACAAAAAAAAACCCAGAAACCGAAAAATTCTTATATGCTCTGCTTCTCCTTTGCCACAATCATGTAAATAATTTAAGGCCAAAGTTCCGCCTAGAATTTTAAGTCTGACTATGTCTTTGATGATATTTTCAAATTTTATATAGATTTGCAATATCATTAAGGTTATAGTAAGGTATTGAAAAGAAGAGGTTATTTTATGAATCTTGACTGAGTTCACTACTAGTTTATCACACCAAAGAAACAAGAGCCCGTTGTTCCGATTCAGTGAGAAACATTCCTGCTCTTTAGAAGTATGAAATGTTAAAACACCAACTAATGTTGGTGGCCAGACAAAACTAAATCAGGAAGCAGAGCCTCATATATCAAGCAAGTCTGGAGGTGACCTGTGAGTATAATGACATCCAAAACCATCTGCATTTAATTTAGGACAAGAAAGAACATCATCACACGGATATCAAGCAACGCGAGGATTGTCAGTTCCAGGAGTCCCTCCTGTACCCAGCAGTGTGTCTGAAAAATTTTGAGAGTACTAGTATTAAATTACTGTTCTGAATTATCTGCCCAGTGAATATTTAAGATGACAAATTTGAAACACACATATATAACATGTCTCCCCTCTTAGCTGTCTAACCATGTGCTTTGTTATACTCCCAGCACCCCTTTTTATTTGTCCTTCCACAACATTTCCTGAGAAAAGCCACTGAGCCAAATGAAAACCTGAACACAAAATACTTCTCTGGTTTGGGTCAGAGCCACTTGTGCTTCAAATTGGGAGAGGACAGCAATATTTAGCTCATGTGATGCCCATGCTGGTGCCACTGATCCTACAGCACTAGCATCAACTGGGGCAAGATCAGCAGGAGATGAGATCTCAACACTGCTTCATTAAAAGAATTTCATCATAATGACCCTTTCCCTGACTTCATAATGTGAAGATTGATATTCTGAGGTAGGTGTTGCTCCTCCTTGGAAATTCTCAGATGTGGGATTCCAGGTTTTTAATTGCCCTTTCTCAATGTAGCCCAGAGAAAGGACACTGAACCTCTACTTCAGGACACTCTGCTGTAGGCCTCCTCAGAGGACATGAACTGCTTCCCTGATTTCTCAATGCCTGGCAGAGATGGGGAACTGGATGAAAACCAACTGGCTGATTTTCAGACTAAATACAGATGGAAGTGGTGCTGGCTGGCAGTGGTAATTACATTAAAGAGTTGGCAAACCCATTAACTTTTTGCTCATTTGTTGAAATTGAGAGAATCAGTTGGTTCTTCCACAGACTGGCTACAACCCCAAGTTCCCACCGAAATGCGTGTGTGTGCGTGCGCTGTGGTTGTGGGTACCCACCACTCTTCACAAGCATTCAATCCCAACAACTTCCTTGTTGGACAGGCAATTAGAGTCAATGTTAGTCCTTCTGATGTTTCAGACTCATTAAAAAAGAAGAGTTGTAGTCATGCAAAGTAATTAGCAACCCATTGATGGGGGAGAAAGGGCACTAACTCAGACACAAGAGGCATAGGTTTGAGACTCTGGTCTCACCATCAGTGTAAAAGTATCAACTGCCTCTTTACAGCTGTAGGCTGGGGATCCCCACTGTTGGAGAGGTTTAATTGTTATGAAGAAATGTTCCTTAGAGCAGTGGCTCAAACTTTGATCTGTTGTATATATACTAAGTGAGGGCCAAAGCTACTAAGTCAGTTACTTTCTGTAAACTCAACAAAAATTTGATCACTTATTCAATTAGGAGACTGTACAGCTTAAAAAGAAATTTTGCAGAAAGCACCATATAAAATGTGAAACAACCTGGCAGACAGGGTAATTAGCTTGGAAATGCAGACCCATATCCTTAGCCAGCAGCAATTTTGATACACTTTGGTTTTTAGTGTTTACTGGCAAAGGAGACAATTTACTATTTTGGAGAAATGCATAATTTCTCTTACCAGAAAGTCAATCTCGCAGCTGAGGCCAGTTTCTTAACAAAATTTTGATTGAATCTGGTATGTCCTGTAACTGGTAAATCAGCATTTTCTAATAAAAAGCAGTATGTCACAGAAAAAACTCCTAGCCAGATCAAATAAGAGTCTCAGTGATCCCACATCCTTCTCTTTGCTAACCAAATTACAATATCCAGGATGTTGACCCACACAGTTATAGCTTACTTGACCTCATGTTACCCTATCCAAGTACAACTTAAAAGACCTCTCTGAAGTTTCAGCTGGTGAAAACTGTGGTTTCCATCCCACAAAACATATTAGTCTATTAAGAACCAGTGAGGTCTACATTCTAGACTCTAAGGAGTCTTTCAATGCTAATACAGTAAACAGCAACTCCTATTAGTCTCCTTAGCACTTTGGGTTTTTTCTTAAGTACACCTTAAGTGCTAAAATCCTGTGACCAAGATGTACTAAGGTGTGGTACCACCTCTATTTAAATGATAGGAATATAGTGGGAGAGAGATCAGAGAATAAAATACTTTAAAAGGGATATTTAGATCGGGTCTTTAAGTCAATCTCCCCAGCTAGCCAGACTGCGTAACTGTTTTGCTAACAGAAATTCATTACTTCAGATCTGTAGAGACAGTGACGGAAGCAGAAAACATGGAAAACAGAAACCTCAGTCTATAATGGAAACAGCAAAACTCCTTCCATCTCAAGGTTCATCAAAACTCACAGTGACTCTGGGAGACTTGAGATAAGACAGTGTTCTCAGCATCAGTTCTGTGGCTAAAAGACTCTTCTCCAGCTACTCACTTCTGTGGCTGAAAATCTGTTCTCTAGTTACATGGAGCTCACTGACCTGCAAGGACTGATATAAGGCCCTCCCAATTACTATTTCTGTGGGTAGGTCTGGATTTCTTTAAGAAAAGTTAAGAGACTCTTTGGTCCTTCAGTTGACCTCATTACAAAACATGACATATGGTGCTTAAAAAAACCTTTTGTATGCCCAGAGAGCATGAGAAACATTTTCAAAGTTTTTTTAAAAGCATGGTGGGGTGTTGGAAAGGCTTGGAAAAAAACCCCATTTCTGATAAACCATAGTAAAAAACAAACTTCATTCATTCAGCTCTCTCCTTAGGTTGTGCCAAGGCACATGGACATCATGACAGGCTGAAGAACAAATGCAAACATTAAGAAATACATCTTAATTTACTGAGCATGGATGGGAAGTAAACACAGAAGACATTTTCAAGAATTTTGAACTAAAGAAAAATCAAACATCTACTGCTGGATTTGTATATACCACCGGTTACCATGAAGGCCTTTTCTCAGGAAGTCCAGCACACACAGCAGCTCTGCTAAGGCGCCACAGATGAACTTGCTGAATATTTACATTCCACAGAGAAACATCAGCAAAAGGGATGATTCTCAGCTGCTTAACCAATCATATAACAAGTGATTATTATTTCTCAGCAGGTCTCTTCTTTCACCTGTAGTGTTTACTGGAACCCAGGCAAAATGGACCTGTTTTACTGACAAAATCTTCTAGGACGAACAATTTCTGGGAAGCATCTCTCTCTGGAATGCCTGTGTGTACTTTAAAAGTGGGCATGCCTACGTTGATACCCGTATCACTGGCAGGAGACAGACAAAAGACTGCTTCTGCTGCTGCCAAAATTAGCAGTGAATTTGTAAGGGAACAGTATCCAGCTGACAGCATGCATAGCATCCTGAGAATTTCTTATTCTAAGCAGCATGGACATGTTACTGCTCCTCCACCCTGAGTACTGTCTGTCAGCAGCTAAAGCAATTGTTTGGAGACATATGCAGACAGTAGGATTGAGAGTCATGGCCATTATTAACAAGGAGGCTGGGTAGAGTAAAGCCAAAACACTTGAATGATGGAAGCTGAAAATATTGTTTAAATGTCTGGGTGGAGTGCTGTTCTCCTGTTTAGTCTGTTTACATCCGGTAAGTTTTGCTGTATCCTGCTTCGGTGAGTCACTCAGAGATGTAAAAACAACTGAAAAAACCCACTTGTTTTAGTATTTCTCCCCTTTTAATGATACAATGACAGACGTCAAAAAGGACAAAATAAAGATATGAAACTCATTTAAAGTGCATTCAATTCTACTTCAGTGTCTTTATTGGCCTTCAGAAATCTAATAATTTGCTGAAACTCTCACTTAACAGATAGACAGGTTGACTGACTGATCCATCCAAATAAAAGGTGAAGTTTAGAGAGTAAAAACCCCATAGAATAGACTGAGTCCTAAAATACAAGTGATTAAATCTCCAAACAGCCCTAGAGAAAATGAGTACCATTCCTTTCAGTTATACCTTTTAAGTATAGACACCTGGTGATGTGGTGTGAGGAAGAACAGTCTTGGGTTCAGCGCATGTCAGTGCTAAAGGAGAGGGTTTGTCAGGGAAGACCTGCAGCGAGACCTCCATTGTGCATCCCTGGTAATCAGCACAAGTGGCCCTTTTTTTCCATCTCTGTGGCTTCCTGTGCCAGGCACATCTCTGTTATCTTTGCCTGCAACCCCCCCCACACAATGCCATGGTGCTGCATGGTTGTCAGGATTAACCTTCAGGAGTCTATCTTTACAACAGACTTTTCAGGTGGCACATACCAGAGACAGGACTAAACACATGGCCATCCCCGCTGTTACTTGTCCTGGTATGTGGGGGTTCCCAGGTTGGGATACAGAAAACTCAAAATGTTTGGAATTAATTAAATACTCTTTCAACTGCAACTGTGCTTACAAAAGTGATGCTGAATGGATGGAAATGAAGTCTGCATTAAAGCAGCTACATCTCCTCTGTATGAAGTATCTGGAAATCAGTTTCCTTGCTACCCCTCTGACGTCCTGTGGCCTGGTCTTGTTTTCTTCTTACAGCAGTGCAGTTGGACTAGTTACTAAAAAAACCCACCACAAAACCCCAAAAAGAAAGAGAAGGAAGGTATTTCTTTCACACATGAGAACTAGCGACCTGCCCAGGTGGGTAAGTGTGTGCTCTCACTCTTTTTTGTGAGCACATCCACGTCCACAGTGAGAGGTGTTTGTTTTGGACTGGTTGTCCAGAAATGGAAGGTACTCTCTTCATAAAACAAGCAGTAGAAATGCTTATTAAAAAAACCCAGCATAGAACAGTCCAGGATAATACTTCCAGCTTGCTGTGACACACATGCAGAGGAATGTTTACTCTGACTTTAGGTGACATGGAAACAATTGCTCAGGGAAGGTGGTGGGGCTCAATTGTGAGCATGGTAGGCTCATCCTTATGGAGGACCAGCAGCACAAGGCCTTATATTTTTCTTTCCAGAGCACCTGAAAGCTGGGTGACGCTGTCCCTCCTTACTCCTGAGGCTGGGAGAGATGAGGGTTCTGATGATTCCCATGGGAAAATGGTGACCTTTCAACCACTGTGCCAGGCTTATGGTCAACACGGCACAATCCAGCACCACCCTGGTTATTCACCCCCTCTGCTGTCATGCATTAAGAGTCTGCTCAGCAAGTACCTGAGTGGCAGATGATCTTTAATAACTCAGAAGGACAGAGAAAAGTACATCAGAACCAACAATGGCCAGAAAACCTAAGAAGTTGGATGCCATATACTGCTATTCAGGCTATTTTTGCCTAACATTTGCTGTTGGCAACAAATAAGAGTGAACATGGCTTTCTTTTCACTCTGCTGACATAACCTGTTTAGAACCTGACTCCTTTCAATTTCCTGGACCCTTACTGACTAACCCAAGTTCTTCCTGAAGGAAGGAGAGAAATACAGATTCAGCTGTTTGAGAAGACCTGGGGTATTTTCCTTTCAGAGGGTGCTCCTATAATATTTTATAAATTGAGAGAACATGTCAGACATTTCTATAACTGAGAATAAGGCAGTGAGAGATGGGAGAAAAAGGATAAAAGCAGAGTGGTATATATTTGAAAGACCTGAATTTCAAATAAGAAGGAAAAAAGGAATTAAAATTAGGAGAATCAACAGAGTGATTTCTAAAAATGTTTGGTATAGTTAACCAGAAGGTATGAGCAATGCTGAAAATAAGGAATATAAATATAAATATATAAGATAAATATAAAGATGGATAACTATAAAGTGCTGACCTTCACTATGGGCAACTAGCGAGTCCTAAAAGGCAAAGTGCACTCAGAAAACCCTTTGGAATAAAACCAGAAAGTAGATCCCCAAAGCAAATAACTGAATAGCTTATAAATGCTCCCATGCAAATAGACAGAAAAGAAAATCCTTGACCAGAAGTGTAATAGCAGAAAATAATATTATCTGGAAGTGCTCAATCAATGCATCTAAATTATTAGAAACAGAAGTCAGTGTGGCTGTAAGGAAACTACAAAAGAATACAAGGCAATGTAAGAAAAATTACTGTTGGAAAGATCTCTGACAACAGAGAACTTAGAGGAATAAAGACCAATTCTGAGTTAAGCATCTGTATCCATCACCAAAAGGTGATCACCCTTTGATCACTTCTCAGAGCACCACACCAAAGAGGTATTGGTGGAACTCCAAAAGTGCAATCGCAAAGATCTCCCAGCTTTGGGTGACACAGCAAAATTCTGGCTTTGGTGAATTATCAAAGCAATTTATCATTGTCAAAATCTGCTACAGCAATGAAAAATATGAGAATAAAAAGTTAAAATGTATTTAAACTCTCAAAAGAGCTTCTAAAGAGAAAGTTTCAAAGGAGACTGCCAAAGTCATGCTGCCCATAAGAGAGGAAAGATAAAAGCTCAACAAAAAGAGCAGGATGTGGTTAGCCTTTTCTGATGCAGAAGAGCACCCCACAGGCTGCTATGAAGATCAATATCTGACAAATGCATTGAAAAGCAAGGAAGGTTTTGCACAGAATTATGTTGCTTTGCACTTTTAGCTGCATGGATGACTAAGGAAGAAATATAGCAACATAATTGCTTAATTAGAGTGTAGCCAAATGTAGTGCATTAACAGGAGCACAAAAAAAATTGATTTTCCCCAAAGGGGACTATAAAATTATTGAACCTTTTCCTTAAAGACTCCTTCTGCATGTTGGCTCAGTCCTACATCAAGTGATCTTGTAACAAATAAAAAGTTTGCACTTCCAATGTAACATAGGAGGTCACTGGATTTATCCAAACAAATGTGTCAGGGGACATTCAATATTAGAAAGATTAATGCAAATATTTTCCATAACCAGTTTTAAATCAAGAAAAGACTAATCACATATTTGAAGTCATGAAACAAATAAAAATTAAAAGAAAAATACTTTCTTCTTGACAAATATCTAAAGTAACTTTGAAATGGGGATGTTAATTTTTTCAATGGAATATTTAAGTTCCATCCTTCTGCCAAACTAGACTAAAAGCAATAACATCAGAGTAACCAGACCACTTCTCTCGTCATAAATTTGTGCATTTCTGTGTGTGTTTGTGAAACTGGGATGTCAATACTGTGTCTTACTACCATTTTTCCAGAATGTTTTTCCAGAAGGGAACACAAAATTAGATGCACAATGCAGAAAACTGCAATTTCACAGACATTTTTCAGTGTCTCAGTATTTAGATTTAGTTCAAATGGCTCCAAATTACAGGTCAAGTTCAGGTCTAGGATTAGGACCCAGCCCATAAAGCTGATTAGTGTCCAAACAAAAGAGTACAACCATATCTGTAAATCCATGTCACATGGAGTTTATTAAAATCCAACTGATCAGTAGCACCAAAGCATTTATGTATTTTAAACAATGGTTATTTTCCTAAGGTTAAAGAAAGAAAAGCAAACGAACTGGCTTGCTTGGGCAGTGCTGGGTTCTTGGGTTCACATGCTTTGTAAATTGAAAGAGGAGAGTGCAAATGCAAGTAAATAACTGGATCATGTTATCCAGACCACACTCTGCACTGGATGGTAAAAACAGGGAGAAAAAAAATGGAGAAAAGATGCAGTGCTTTAACACTTCCCTTTCTCCCAGAAAAAAAAAATAATCTTTCAGTTGAAGAGATATGGGTTACACTAAAGTCAAACAGAAAAGATAAAAGATATTTTTCAGCTCAGCAACATTCTCCTACTCCAAAAAGTATATGTTTAAGACTAAAGATATTTCATAGGGAGACTGAGACCTGATCACTAAGTATGTACTCATTTTATTTTACCTTTGTCTCTGTTCTTCTCCTTTCCTAAAGAGTCCAGTTTCTTTCTTAATGATTTCTTCCTCTTTTGTCCATCTGTAGGAGGCAAGAAAAGAAAATAAAAAAAGGAAGTAAATGAAGTGAAATAACACTGAACAATCTGCTGCACAAGCTGTAGGAACATGGAGTGAGAAGGTCACAGCACTTGGAATCAGGAAGGGTGTGGGGATATATTTCACAAAGGTTAGAGTGTGTCACAGTCCCTCAATGGAGAACAAAGCATTTGGTTTTGTTCACCCAAATGCTGACGCTGCACAGGGGAACCAAAATGTATCCCCCTGCATGCTGCTGGGCACATCTACCCATGTGGGGTCATCTAATTTTGAAGACTTAATAATGGAGTTTCATTGTTGGATGCTCTTGATAGCAAGGTATCATAAACCTAAAAAGTATTGGTTAGCCTTCATCCATGGTCACAAGACTGTGATTCAGGTGTGCAGTTGAAGGTAGTATTTGGAAAGAGAGGATTACTAAGCCTCTACGATAAAGTTCTGCATACCAATCATACCCGTTGACCACCTTCACGTGACCCATCTGATCTGAACTCACTCTGGGAGTTTGCAGTTTGGTACAGCATGTCCAGATTGGTTCAGGTGGATTAGAGTCTCAGAAAAATTATTGTTCTAATAACCTATCTATCATCCAAGTTTTCACTAAGGTATTAAGGACCAAAGTTTTCAAGCAATAGTGGAGGCAAGTTGGTTCTTGAAATGATTATATCAAAAGGCTGGCTATCATTATTTCCTTCAGCAGCATCTTTTATAATGAAAAGTCAACAAAAAAGCATTTTATTAGCTATCAACAAATACTAGGGATTAAGACATGGGCCTGCTTTAACTTGTACCTTTTGAACTTTTCAAGTTCCAAAGCAATATAAAGGGTCTAACATAGGGACTAATACTTTAACATAGACACCACTCCAGATAAAGGTTAATGAACACACACCTTTTCCTTACCAGTTTTGTAACATGGCAAAAACTCAAAACCAAACATACCGTATCTGTTTCATTTTTAGGGCAAGAAAGTCACCAAATAATCTGTCTCAACAGGTTTTTCTGGTTATATAAGCCAATGTCTTAAGTGGTCTTTTACAGTAAGGAATATACCACAGAGGAGTGAAGTGGATCTTTGTTGATGAACTCTCATCTTTGCAGTTACGGGTCATGAGAGAACACAAGCCATTTCCCCATACTTTTCCCTCAGCTTCTACTGAAAACCAAATCCAGAACACTACTCAACAGACAGCTCAACAAATTATGACACCTTTTATAGCCAGTTAATATTCTTTTAATTTAAAATTAACATTTCTTTTTACTTTTTGTAACAGTGGCTTGATCAATTCCACTTGCACACTTGCAATCTGCATTTATTTACAGCATACCACAGAATCACAGAATCATTAGGATTGGAAGGGACCTCTGGAGATCTAGTTCAACTTCCCTGCCAAGGCAGGGTCACCTATAGCAGGTAACATAGGAACATGTTCAGGTACAAATTTCTGAATTTTTTAATTTCTCCAGAGAAGGAGACTCCATGACCTCCCTGGGCAGCCTGTTCCAGACTCTGCCATCCTCAATGTACGTAAGTTCTTCCTCATGTTGAGGTGGAACTTTTGTGGTTTAGTTTATGGCTTTTACATCTTGTCCTGTTTTTGGGCACCACTGAAAAGAGTCTGGCACCATCCTCTTGGCACCCACCTTTGAGATAACTGTATGTATTGATGAGATCCCCTTTTGGTCTTCTGAGGACTAAATAGGCCCAGATCCCACAGTCTCTCCTCATAAGAGATGCTCCAGACCCCAAATCATCTCTGTGGCCTCCACTGGACCCACTCCAGTAGCTCCTTGTCTTTCTCGTACTGAGGAGCCCAGGACTGGACACAGTATTCCAGATGTGGCCTTACTAGGGCCAGGTAGAGGGGGAGGATCACTATCCTCAACCACCTGGCCACACTCTTCCTGATGGACCCCAGGATACCATCGGCTCTCCTGGCTGCCAGGGCTCCCAGCACTCACTCAACCATGATACTCGAGGTAGAAGTGTCATGTGCTGGTTAATTCCCTTTTTTTGCACCTGCTCCAGTGAGAATTCATCTCTCTGAAATAAGGCTGATTAGATGGATAAGGTATTCCAGATAAGAGTTCAGCAGTATAATGGTAGTAATTCATTGTCTGATATGATTAGGTCTATGATTACATTTTCCTTTTTCTTTTAGCCACACAACAAGGTTATAACTCAGAGTCATACTCTGATTGATTAATATGCCCAGTCTTTTCACACCTTCTGACATTTCCTGTTGCTAAGACTGAGTTTATAAGAGAAATTCTTTCACCTCTTGGCAACACGAACAGTCAGTAGCCTGCTTACAAACACCTGAAAGTACAGCTTGTTTTCATAAGGTTCCCTCCTAACATTGTGTTCCGGCTTTATAGATATAAAATAATTTTCAAATTCTTTTTCATGTTATAAATTCAAATTACTGCTTCACAGTAGTATTTTGATAAATGACTTACATTTCTTTGGAGTCATAGAGCCTTATTCTCCAAAGACCAACTTATTGATATTCTGACACCCCACTGAAGTCTACTGAGACATAAAAAATGAGAAAAAAAGTCGAAATTTGATGTAAAATACAGCGTTTTCCTACAATCATTTACATTCACAGTTTCCCCCATGGCAAGAGAAAAAGAGTTGCATATGAAAATAAGACTGAGAGGTATCTCAGTGAAAAGCTGAAACTTAGATCTGCCAAGAGGTCTGAGGCCAGTTCAAACTCTCCTCCTCCCCAGAAAAAGATATGATAAATTAGAGTCTATATTCTGTAAAAATAAATATGTTTTGAAATGACTGTTGAATCAAAGTACATCAGGCATGAACACTGCTGAAATATTCATAACATGTGTAAAGACATGCAATTCTAGCACTTTTACATATTAAATGAACTCAATTCACAATAACAATGCTTAGTACTTATTAACTGCAGTGTGTTTTGAGAATATAATTAATATCCAAAGCATTCTTGGGAAACAGGCGAAGCATTATTACCCACACCTAATACCAACTGTACATTTTTTAATTAACTAGTAAATATTTGTGCAAAATAGTATCGTATCAGTCCAAAGTACTATTAGATATCAACTGCTATTTTCATTTCCAGTTTGGAAATGTTTAAACCACAAAGTGATAAAAGCTGTAGGGGTTTTATCCAGCCTTTGTGTATATAATTATCACTTTATGTCTTCTTTCTGTAGATCAATGATATACTGCTCCTCCAACAGATTCCACTCAAGAATACTAGCAAGACAAAAGAACCACTCAAAAGACAACAACTGCCAAAGTGAAGGAAGCTGCATTTTTTTTTCTTTGCTAACCCATTCTGTTTTTCCTGAAGGACACCTGCCGAGGCAGCTGTGCAGATCAGTCTGTTTTTCAGAAATGGACTTGATCCATTCAATACTTACTAATTTATATGTTTGCTGCATTTTTCACTGCAAGGCATACATCACTCCCAGGGCATCTATGTATTAAGACTAGCACAATGAATATTTAAAAGACCAAGAGTCTATAATTGAACTCCTGAGTGCACATTAAATTGCTATGTGACCTGTTTTTCCGAAGTGGTGAGCATTTCCAGGTTCAGTTAATGCCAAAAAGACTTTTCTATTTAAAAAATTAGGTCATCTTTTTAGGACTTTGTCAGTGAACCACACAGCCTACAGAATACAAGAGTATTTGTACTGATCTACTGACTTTTGACAAGAACTGAGCAGTTTGACTTCTGAAATTATTTAAGTTTTGATATTTTGAGTTAAGGCTGACATTCACCTGTAGTGTCATCACTAACACCATTTCATTAGCAGTTACACTACAGACCATTTCAAGGCCTAAATCTCTCTCTATGTGAGACTATGGTTCTAAAAATGAGGTAACAAGAAGTCATTTTCATGATGAGGATATATAAATTTCAGCTTTAACAGTTTAAAAAAAAAAAGAAAGAACGTAAAGAACTTTGTAAATTTTTTTAATGACAGATTGTTCTGTTGCTTTGCATAAGACCACTTACCAACACCTAATATGACTCAAAGAGAGAGAGTGCAGGCTGAATCCTGTTACTATTTACTTCCAGTAATTCTTTACTCAATTTATATTTAAGGAAATCAACAGGTCTGTTTGGTAGGTAGAGGTGCTGCTCAGCATCAGCTAAAGCATCACAAATTAGGTATAGGGAATTAGCTCAAAATGATACAGTTAGTGGCATACCTAAAGTTAACATTCAGGAACTGGCCACCAGTTTCATATTATGTCACTTAATAGTCAATATACTGTGAAATCATAATCCAATATGTTTTTCATAATTAATATAATATACAGTAAAAAAGTACAACAGCATCTGAGCCTTATATGTAATTTTTGGGACACTATTACAGTATTAGGCTTCAGATCATAAAAAAATACCCCATCAAATATGCTTGAAGTGAACATGTAAAAAAAAAATAGGATTCTTCAGCACTTTCTTTACTTACACATGGGCTGGTAGATTATCTGTAAGAATCGATGTTCCTTTTATGTTACTTACATGCAAGCACACTTTTTATTAATCAAAAAAATAATTCATAACTTAATACAGATCCTTTAAACTGTTTTAATTCAATGGGGTTTTGACATAAGAGATGATCTGCTGCTTACAGGATTGTAGAGCAAAGAGAACTCCCCTCCCCATCTATTGGCAGTTTCCTTTGCTTAAAAGAAATGTGTTTCTTGTCCATTTAGGGAAGAAAGTTGTCTTGTTCTACAATGAAGGGTTATTTTCACACAGTGTAAAGAGAGGAGTTATGTGAGAGATTATTATCAGACCCATAGCTCAACTATCAAAACAGAAACCAATAAAAAAGTTGATATTGTGAGATTTCTAAAATACGTTTTCATAGTAATTCTATTCATGGCCATTTTCCAATAATAGTCACTTGTAATTGGATCTAACTGCACTTAAAGAAAAAAAAAAGAACATATCTTCTAAAAGTGCAATCAATTTTGTC